TCTTGTCCTGTGCCCCTGTGGACAGAATTAATTATAAAAGAACTAACGCGGGGTAACGGGAATGTACGTACAAGCATGAAAAGCCTAAAACGAGGAGGGGAATGAAACATTTCTGCCGTATTATACTTCTCAAATTTGAGTTCTCATCAGACGGTCCCTCTATTTAACTCATTACCAATCTTAAACTATATCACTCAATTTTTTTTTAGTGCATGGACACACGCGAGGGAGAGGAGATCAGGGGCAACTGTCGTCCCCTCCCCCCAAATTTCTAAAAGCATTTGGATGGTAGCTGCATGGAAGACTGTTTAAATATTAATTTTCAGTACAACCATGAAAGTATTGGTAGGTTATAAACCGAGCAAGTAAATTTGAAAAATCTTGAGGCAGAAAGTGTAAAGAACTCAGAATATTTTTATTATTACTAATTTTACTATCATAACTTTGTTGGGTAAAGACGGTACAGATTAGAAGTTTAATCGGACATCATACACATAAGAATTTACCCAGACTGGCAAACAAAAGAGATGCACTGAAACGGGATGTAAATTGAGCAGTAGTAACTCCAGACGACGGGCCTCGAAACGTCGAAATTCTCCTTATATTTTTCAACGAAAGCTTGTAAATTGATGACATGCAATACCATTTCCAACAAGTACATGCGAATATAGAATGGAACTAAATACAATTGTCTTAGAATACTAATAACGAGTTCATGCACTTAACATATTGATACACAAAATACCAGTCGAACGGACTAATTTAAAATGATGTCGGATTGAAGAGATAATGTTCATATTGCGGAACTCGTTACAAACCGGCGCTGTTCCACGATTTCATTAGTCACTGGAAGTAGGATTTCTGATAATTATGTGGTAGTTTTATTGCGAATTTAATTGTAAAAATGAATAATGTAACAACTGTATGTATGTATTTGTATGTTTCCTTTCTGGCAGACTACATATCCGTCTGTGGTCTGCCTTGGTCTTCCGCATACGCGTATGTGTGAAGATCAAATTTCACTGGCATAGGCAAGTTCTTGGGATCACCATGCAGGTAAAATGTACATCCCCATGTAACTTGCCTGTACATTTCTTTGTCGTCAGGATACATAGCATTTTCCATTTTTCTCCCAGCTTGGAATATGAAACAGTTTGTGGTAACTTGGTGCCAATCTAAACTGTCCCCCCCCCCCCTGATATCCCACGATAAGTATAGTTTCAAGTGGGGCACCAGCGTAGGTATATAGCATAGCACAATAAGCTGGCGTGGTTTGTGCGGTGAACTACACGAATTAAGCATTGCTACGTTTCGTCGAAAGCTCTCTGTTAGAACTTTAGTAGCCTCTGGTAACTACCAATTTTCCACCTTATGCTGCACGTTGGCTCAGACCTAGCGCAGCGCTGCACCCATACACTATATATTCCTAGTGCTCCTACTAAATGGTTGAGCTAGTCTTTTGTGTCGATTTCGTGTGTGTGTCATACAGTCTGTAGACAATGTATGATTGACAAGTTTTCAAAACAAACAGCTTGCTTTCAATGATACGATAAATGTGTATAGGCCCTCCAGGAGCAATTGAACTTGCTGCTCAACTATTCCGGTGAAGTACTCAAACTACTGAGCTACGGAGACCAGCTGCAACTACCAGGCGCACGCAATTGTATATATTTGGGTATGCAACTGAATGGCAGGATACATTTTATAAATTTTTATTGAATCATTAAATTAAAGTCATAAAATGATGGATAATTGGCAAACGAAAAAACATGCACTACACAAGTTTTTTAAAGAGTTTCAGTCACGTGGTACGTGAACATATTTATCGGATCGAGTGATCTTGTGTTTGGTATCAAATATATGCAATTTAACCAAATTTACTTGCTTAAAGCGGCAATAGGCCTATGTGTAAAGTGGACCACCAAGCGTTTTCCTATTGTATAAGTCTTGAGTGAAACCCACCTATACTAAGTCTAGGCAAGTCGTCTATTATCTATAGCTTGAGTGTTCTACTTCGCGGGACCACAGGCGGGACCGTCAGTCACGCAGACTAGCCCACACGCGTAAAAACGACTGAACAACCTGTGTTCCCAACCGTGTCCCGGTTGATGTCGACAGGCTTGAACAAGGTTGTGTTGCACCCTAAAAACAAGTTGTCAACAATGTTGTTACAGCATTGTTGCAACTAAATAATACATTAATGCTGTATTGATGTAACAACATTGTTGATAACTTGTTCTCAGACTTAGGGTACAACAACATTCTTGTTCAAGCGCCAGATGCACGTATACTGCCTCTTTCAAGTCCTTCATGTATTCCAATTTATCTGTTTATCGGGAAATGGCCATGCATTAATCATTATATATCTTATCGAGTTATCGTACGTACGTGATCAAGACAGCCAATCATTTAAGCTAGCTGGCGCACACGATGGGATTTAAACGGATTTTAGTCGGCCGATTTATGGTTGAGTCATAGATGCATGTTAAAAAGAGAAACAGTCAGTGGTATGATTTGCGGTCTCATTATCCTCGATCGTTTGCATTTTAAACCATAAATCGGCCGACTAAAATCGTATCGTGTTAGTCTACCTTTAACAGGTAACCAACATGCACTATAATATTTGGAACTTGATTGATATTTATGGGACTTGATGAATATTTTATTGAAGTCTGACTAAATTTTTGAAATGGATTGTTAAAGGGATATCTACATTTCCATTTTAAAATCGATGATTTGTTAGTTATAGTTTGTCCCTAATATCACGAAAATCTGAAAACATTTGGCCCGAGTAAGCCAAAGCTAAAAACCCATTGGAAATCTATGTCAGTGCGAAATAATGATCTGATGAAGCCGTAGAGTACTTTATATAGGATGATTGGATTAATTATTGACGTTACTATAATTAAACTTTAAGTCTTTAATTTAATTTAATTTAATTAATTTGCACATTTATAGTAAGGGTGGATTATTTGTGTCGCCATGTTCAACCAGTATGATAAATTTTCCTACGTTTTGGGACATCCTGTGCATACTATAAATCCTTTATAAGGAAATATTAAATATGGTAATATTGTCATCTGACATTCTGTGAAATTATATACAGAAACATGACAAGAATTGAAGAATTATAATTCTACATGTAGATAACAAACATCTACTCTAGAATGCACTTGTCATCGCAACAAGTAGGATTAGCATTCTTGTGCGAATGAAGTATTAAATTCTTCGCTAGGAATTTCGATATATTTAAAGATGATGACTAGCTATAGAAGACGTCGATCATTATCGAAGTCAAGTCCTTCCGCACAATGAGGATATGAAACTATGTGGGTATTACCAGGGGCGTAACTTGAGTCTAAACATTACAGGTGTGTGAGCCGCTTTGTCGACAAAAATGGTGTGGTCAGAAAAGAACGTAAAGATGCTGGGGCCCTGATATGGACGATGATACGATGCTACAAGTATAGACTGCCAAAGGTATGACACCCCTATTGGTAGTATTGGAAGGGTGGGGGCATGCTCCGCCAGAAAATTGTGAAATTTAGAGTCTCTGAAACGCCATTTCATGCACTTTGGGGGAAGATTTTGTCGAATTCTGATGGTCAGAAAACAATGTATAATTATGGATATTATGGATATTGGTCTTCACATGGGGCTATTCATGTCCTGTTGACCATACTTTCAACCATATTATGTAGGGTTTAATCTATTTTATGTATGGTTGTAAAGTTAATAAATAAATAAATATATTAGAATACCAATATTTTTAAAATTGCTCAAACTGGACTTATAGGTTCTTACTCGACATAATTTTTGCCCAACAAATTGTTGAATATTTAATATAATTGCCCAACAAAATTGCTTTCTCAAACAATAGGGGGTTGGGGTTGGACGGGGCACATCCAGGGGTTTGCCATAGCGAACACAGCAGGGGATGTAACACCCAACTAGTGATGACCAAATTGACCACAGGTAAACCGTGTCAACGAAGGGGCTGGTTATGGTGTGGAAGTTCCCTGGAGTTCAAGTTCCGAGGAGACCGTTTTTCCTGCAAATGCTTGAAAAACAAATCAGTAAAGAAAGAAAAGTTTGTTTTAGGAGATTAGTTCAAGTTATTAGCGTTTATGCTACATATAAATATTGAAAAACATTAATAACAAATACGTGTCCAGTGAATTTTCTTCAAATGGATTCTTACCACTGATTGTTATGAAAATTTAATTTAGCATACTTACATTTATCACTTACGTTTGTCTGCCTAAAGAGAAGTTATTCGGCTCATTGGGACTCAAGTTAAGTGTACGCTTCCGCTTAATAGAGGTATCCGCTGAATAGGGGTAATGATAACAGTATTTTATTAAAGAAATCATTGGAACAGGAGGTATGTGTCCGCCTCAAGAGAGGTGTCCGTTAATAGGGGTGTGACTGTATTTTAAATACTAAATTTAAACGTATTTCTCTTAAAGTGGCGTCTAATAGTGCCGGTTAATTAAGTTCTGTAAAGGTGATTGGTGAACATTACAAAATAGCATTAGCATACGGTAATGCATGGTTTCTAAAAGTCAAGAGTTTTTGAGCACCACTTAAATGACGACAGTTTTTAAAGATCCACTACAGTAAAAGCATTTTCAAATCAACACGTTTTTGACAATTTGAAAAAGCAAATTTTGAACGACGAAAGACTGTTTTCAATGAAAGCCATTATTCCATTAATTAAACATGCACAGAAATCCAGGGCTGCGAACAACAATTAAAATAACTCTAGTGCGAAGGTTAACCAATCAGAATTGCGTATATTTTACAGTGCAGTAGCATTTAAAATAAAAAGATCAATTAAAAAGCAGTTAACAACTTAGACTTATATATCTTCCATTTCAAATGTTTCTCGAAATTGCAAATATCAATGCAAACTAAAAATATACCGAAATGTACATCATTCCATTTTAATAGATTAATAGGTTTAATATAGATTATTTACAATAGATGATTTTAATATAGCCATTAACAAAATTCACAAAAGTCCAACGTCATCGCACTTTCCAGCGGAATCGGGACTGCGTTTCATAACTTTTGGTGCGCGATTTTTTCGAGTTGTGCAATCAAAGTTAGATCTATGTCGATCCCTTGATGATGGACTTGAAAATCCACGGCCACATCGTTCACACGAGTAAGGTTTGTCTCCAGTGTGCATGTTCAAGTGAAACTTGAGCTCATACGACTGCGCGAAGGCCTTTCCACAATATTCACAAACACATGGTTTTTCCTTAGTGTGAGTGCGTCGCACGTGACTATCATGTGCAGCATGCGAGGCAAACGCTTTCCCACAATGACGACATTTAAACGGTTTTTCCCCACTATGTTGACGTATATGCGTGCGCAGGATTGACGAAGCTGTAAATGCTTTGGTACAGTATGGACATTTGTAGGGACGTTCTCCACTATGTACTCTCAAATGCTTATTCAGACTGGACGATTGCGAGAAACGTTTACCACATTCCGAGCATTGATGTGGGCGGTGCTTCTCGTGAACGTGCAAGATGTGTATCCGTAATCTATCTCGTTTCTCAAACGAACGATTGCAGAGGTTACAGGGATATTTTCTATCTCCTTGGTCTACACATCGTGTGTACTTGAGATGCTTGTCTCGATAATACTCGTACGCGAACACTTTCCCACAGCGGTCACAGGCGAAGCTGTTATCATCTAGAAAACACAATTTAGAAACAATGCATTGTTTAAATCAAGGGCGGATTTTCATTTTTTTAAAGGAGGGGTGGAAAAATTTCTAGGGGGGGTGCAAGCGGCAGCCGGGGTGAAGCGAAATTTTGGGGTGAAGCGAAATTTTGGTGGGGTTTAACACATTATGAGAGGGGCTAGAGAGATTCTAGAGGGGGGGGGGGTTAATCCCCCCTAACCCCCAGTAAATCCGCCCAAGATTTATGCCTGCTTTACTCACTCAAATTTGAGATGACTGAAAACAGTTTTTACAGAATTATCAATTCAGCCCGTTTCCCACTAGACGAATTTGTTCGCGACCGCTTACTGATAAGCGATGCAAACAAAGGCGGGAAAAAGACGCATCGCACAAACCAGGTGGCAATTTACCTAGCAGAAAACCGGCTTTTACTCATGCTCCAATAGTATCCTGTATCTATAAGTAATAAATATCAAAGACAACAAGTTTTGTTCTGCAACATTTTGTTCATTTAGGCAAAATGGCAAAAAATTACAAGTAACTGCTTCTAATAATTGTTCAAGACAAAACCTGTACGTTAGTTGTCAAACATACAAAGTCAAGTTGTTGTCCTCAGGACGTGATTTGACTCACTTTATGGTCACTAATGCTATCAGTAAATGCTAGTAATGGTTGCAATACCACCATTCTTGGATGTTATACAGGTAGCGGTGGTACATTTGACATTACAAGCTAGTAAGATGAAGAATGACGGAAACCTACCTAGATTGGATAGCATCTGTGGAGATATCTTTTCTTTCATTGTTATCGGTATCCCCATATACTTGAGATAAGAGTCACCATACCATACTAACAATTCAGTTCCTTCAAGAATATCACAGACAACTTCGAAGAACACCTCGTCGCCATCTTGAACGACAATCATATTCTGTTCTCGCTCATATCTTGCACAGTTTATGAACTTCAACCAGTTGTTTGGGTCATGTTTACCATCAATAAAACATGTCACCTCACCGTCTTTGAACACCTATGGATTACAGAGGAAAAATTAATAATTTAAAACTCAAAAACCTTGGTTATTGGTCACGTGTCTGATTTTTCTCAGTAAGGTTGCTCTATCATGACATCTCAAACTTGGAGGGTTCGGTGTATAGGTAGTATAGTCGTCAGTAATTGTTGAGGTTTTGGTCAAAATTACCTGCCAAAAACCCTTCGTCAGGAGGTTGTACACCTGTACTCATTGAGCTACCGAGTCAACGGGGATTGGAAGCGAGTTTTGTTCAGTTTAATTACGTGTATGGAATGTTTTCTCTCTGAGGATGATACTATAATATAATAGAACGGCACGTCCTCCAAAACAATAATTTAAGTCGCCGTGCATTTTAATTGTATAAAACTCGCTTCCATGAAAACACCCCCTACTTAGTTCCTACTTATACTTACTTCCCATGTGTATGAAGTGTCACTTAACGTGAATATATCATCGGGCGCAATGTTACGACCAATAAAAGGACCAAATCTTGTGCCCTTCTTGATTATTTTCTCAGAACAAAACACACCGTAGTGGGACACACCCATTAGGATGGTTTCAATAATCTTAATTCCCTCAGGCAAGCTCTGTTTTTCCACCTTTACTCCTTGTGCTTTCACGTTGCTGTTTTCCACATCAATTTCGTTAACCTTTTCTTCCAAATGACGACTTTGCTCACTGCTTGACACGGAACTGTTGTCTTTTCGTGTTTCAAAGAAAGATGCTGTTTCTAGATATCACATAAAATAAGCAACCAAATAAGGTTTTACAAGTCAACCACACTAAATAAATGTTGATATAACCATTTTGATGCAACAGAAAATCTGTCGTCCACTCATTTTATTTTTATCAGAAGAGGGAAAAATAATGAAGTGAAAGTTGAATGGCAAGTGAAGGCTTTGAAGGTGAATGATATTGAATACAAACAGAGATATTTGACATATTGACCGCCATATTGCACAAATACTTGAAGAGCAATCAAGGAAGGGTTGTAAGGACATTAAAAATGTCTTGGGAGGCAAATGGAAACTCGTGAATACCAGTGAAGCAGATAATGAAGGTCATTGTGGATGAAATTGCAAAGGAATGTTAAATGTCATGCATTGTGTCAATGTCACAGGATACAAATCTGAAACATGAAATCTGCAGAACAGAGCTCAGGCTAGTGCTGCTGCATGGGATTGTAGACTGCGTGTGACAATAATAACCAGTGAATGGAGACGTGAATCATGAAGTGGAACCTTTGGGTTCACACGATGAGTGTGAAGTGGCCAGACGGAAATGTATAAACACTAATGTATAGTGATTTAACAAAACTCTTTCCAACAGGGCGTCCCAGTGATGAACAGTGTAAAATAGAAAGAACAGGTATATGTCTATGTCATCGTAAGTTCGAGGCATTAATTTTAAGTGTGATTGATAAAGTCTTTTTCGCTTTTCACTTAAAATCTGATACAATTGATCATGCATATTATAGATACTTCCTGTTTCGAGGGCGAGGCTGGCAATGACTTAATTATACCTTAAATTGGAACATATTTTGTTGGCTTTGAAGTTGAAGCAAGTGTATTTTGCTCATTCAAGCCGAAATTCAGGATGTGTTTATTGTTCTTGCATTACCTAATCTCGGATCAGATATCTGCCAGTTTCCAGACAAAGCGTATGAAAGACGATGTTCTTCCATGTCTGTCTTTACGTAGCCATAGAGGCTGTTGTCCACATCTGTCTGACTGAATAGATGACGATAATAACCATACGGTAGCCCAGCATCCATTTTCAACAATTAATATAAATTCCTATAAAATATATCGAAGTATATGTGTAAAATGACAGTATAATTACATAAGTAATACAAAAAATAGAATAAGTATACTTATGAAAGTTTATGTGTTACACAAATAAGTTACCAAAGGTTTATGAATAAAAAAGTACTGTCTAATGACAAAGGCGTTCAAGAGATAAGGGGGCTAGGTACCGGAAGGATTAAGGGGCGAGGCATTACATAAGAAAATGGAGAAAATGGAGGAAGAGACTGCCATGTGCATTTAAGGAAGGTTTATACTTGGAAATTAAAAGGCGTTCGCGGAAAAGGAGTTTATCAGAAGACTGCAAAGTGAATGAATTTTAAAAATCATATAGAGAGAAATTAATTGTCCAATGCTGTCTAGATGTGAAAGGATACTGGTCAGTTGTGCATTATTACTCAGTTAAGGGTTGCTACTATCGCACATAGTTTATTTTAGTTTACAACTAGTACCTCCACTCACTGCTTGATCTGGAACACGTAGGACTGTGACTATAGTTTGTCAAAAACAATCCATATAGTTAGATCTGAAACAAAACGCTCTGTAATGCGCTGGGGCAATGAAAATATATGTGTGGTACGACATTATTGAATGACATAGCCATAGGGTAAACGTGAATGGTTGACATAACTATCAAACATGCATCATGCAATTGTAGTCACATACAAAGCTTCCCACACAGTATACAGTTGCTGTATAATGATGGTAGAGTTCTCATTGGCAGTAGTGATATGCCACTTGTGTAGTATTCGGCGATGTTTCGGTGTTATCTGTATACAATTTTCACGACAAACCATTAGCATATCGCCTTCTTTCAACGTCCACACCAATAAGTGGGTTTACCTTTTGCAAATGCTTTGTGTTTATGAAACTGGTAGGCTTCCCAAAGACGTTCTCCTTTATATTCATATCGCCCAGGTTTGAGGGGAATTAAGTTCTCTATCCAGTGTAACTATGAGATCTACTGGATTTTCCATTTTTGTGTCTGGAAATTCTTTAAAAATTTCAGGTATAGTCACTGGCGAACCCCCAGCCACTAATAACTAAATATCTTGTGAAATGTATCCGAGGAGTCATGGATTTGTTCTTTCCACACTAACTAAATTTAGTAGAAGTTTCGAGTAGTCGTAAAGAAATTATATTCTATTGGATCCAGGCACTTTCCTATTCGTAAATTCAGCTGGCCACATCATGCCCTTTCCACCTACGATATTTTTCTTTCAAACTAGTCGAATTTCCCCCTGTAGTCTTTGGTCAAGCGAGAGTCAGGAAAGGCTGATAAGACATGGATTTCGCTTGTGGAACTAGGTATTTTGTTGTAGTTATACGGAAATTATGAATAGTTTTGTATTGATGTTATAACGTGCTGCTTTAAGGCACTCTTTGCAGTGACACTTATACCATGACAACATTGCAGACACTTATACCATGACAACATTGTCATCTAATCACGATTCTTTTTATTATTTTGAAAATGCGTAAGAGCGTTCAAACTGTATCATTCAGCATGCGCAAAACAACGTTCAAACATCCGTTAAGCATTGATCCAAGCGAGTTAGGATGTTCAAACACAGTTTAAATGGTGTTTAGGCCAACCAGTCGAATGGAGTTCTTTCGGCAGTTTCAGGTAAATTTTCCGATGAGGGCAGGGGCGGCGCTACAGGGGTGTGTGTGGGGGTGTGGGTGTGGGGGGGGGGTGGAACACCCCCCCCCCACTCGTCAGCTAATCGGCAAATTGTTATCTCAGTCGGCAAAACTGGATTGGCTAAAGATAACAACTGAAGAAACCAAAATTGACCTCCTGAATAATTGAATTCAAACCGAATATCACGAATAGCATGCATCAAAGAAACCACACATGCAAATTTTTTCGGATACAGTATCTTCACTTCTGGCAGCTAGTCCAAAAACATAATATTATTGAAATCATAATTAGGTAATTAAATTTGGTTGGTTGGTTGGTTGGTTGGTTGGTTGGTTGGTTGGTTGGTTGGTTGGTTGGTTGGTTGGTTGGTTGGTTGGTTGGTTGGTTGGTTGGTTGGTTGTTGTTGTTGCTTATTATACTGTTCTATAAAAGAGACAATAAAGTCGGTTTTCCACTAGCAAATTTTCTCGCACGAAGCGACCTTTTTCCTTTGTCGGTATCACTTATTGCCCACCTTAATTGAACCAAAGTAGGAATTTTTTATGCTGATAGCTTTCAAAATGTCAGCGATTATAGAATTCAATTCGTAGTTCGATTAACTGAACACACTACGGTGTAAGGTTTAAAAACTGACGGGTATTGTGTATATACGTTAGATGTTTGAAGATCAAATTTCGCGCGTCTGGAGTTAAAATTTGGCTCCAACTTTCGAATTTTCCGGCTGGAGGTAACGTTCCAGTTATATTCCGATGTCAATGATTCGTAAATGCGTGATTAATAGTGCTCCAAGACGTGGAACAGATTTTAAGAAATGCCAAGATGTGCCGACCTAGGTCAGATTTAGGTCGGCCCTCTTTTGCCGACCTCAATTTTGACGGTTTTGACTTTTCGAGGGCTGCAAAATGGATGCCGACAAAGGAAAAAGGTCGCTTCGCGCAGAACAATTCGCTAGTGGAAAACCGACTTAATAGAGGGTAATAAAGCGCATTTAAACATGCACATTTACTATAGATGGCCCTGAAGGGGTAAAATGAGAACTGGGATTGATCTATTTTTAGACTGGGAAAATGGGATTTGGGTTGCTGGGACTGGGATTTGGCCACTTGGAATGGGAAATGAAGTCCTCAAAAATGGGAATGGGATTGAAGTAATGTGAGTCGATTCCCAATTTTGATCCGTGTTTGGTGTCCTTAGTCATGATTTTTGTTGTTAACTATATTATTCACCGCATTACCTGCGAACAGGTATACTCTGGCGCCCGGAATTTTGGGTTTTCTGATTATGCGTGTCTCAGAATGATGCAAATGCCATTTCCGGGATTCAAATTTAAAAATTTTCTCACCTTCTATTTAGCACCCTGCACCCTCTTTGTTAGTTAAATCAATTTCAATTAGACTTATAGGAAAATACGAACACTAACGTATTATAAACAATTTCGTTCATTTCGTCGAAAGCAATAATACAAACGTCAACTGAAATAATGTCGGTGGTTGAATTCATTATTTAAGATACGGTATGCACTGATAATCCAGCTTAAGATTGAATAAAGATGCATTTATATGAAATATTTCTCTGAGTATGGCATGTATAGCTTATTGCATACAGAGCCCTCCTACTTCGTCCGTGCTTCACCCATACAATATGACCATAATTTTATTCTGATACAGTCGATATCTTTGTAGCTCTTTGCCCATAGCTGGCTGGGAAGAAACGAAAAGGTGGTTGATGCTCATGTTTCGCGCGCAGAAAGGTTAGGATTATTTGTATAGGTTTGTGATTGGGGTCAAGACCAAAGAGAACTCATGCGCAAAAAAAGGGCATATTACGGAAAAGAAAAAAACCATTAAGTAATTTTTAATCAATGAAAATACAAATTCAACCAGAGCGTTTTTCGCTCGCACGAAAATCCCCAAATATATTCTTTCACAAATACTGTCGATTATATGCATGGGAAAGAAACTTGTAGAAGCTTTTGCCTTTTTTAACACTTAGTTATGCAGTAAATGTATAAAATATTATAATACCTGGCAACAAGCATGTCCCGTCCAAACTAAAGTCTTCCTAATCATATATTGAAATTTAGTATATAGTTGTGCATATATACTCGGATTTTATATAGCCTTTGACATTGTAAAATATTGTAAATAAAACTATAATTTAACTTATGATCTTTATAACTATATAAAATTTACATCTTTAAATAATTTAAAAGGATTCGTGTGAAAATGTAAGTTATAATCTCGAAAATATGCTAATTTGAGACAGAGTCGGTACATTATGTCTAATGATGTCGAATTAATAAACTAAATTTCATGTATTGATCGAGGAAATATAAGTATCCCGCTCATATACGTATTAACGTGGGCTTGTATCAATAATAATACATTTTTGTTATATCGTGGTTAACGCCGAATGTGATTGGCTGATTTGTCGTCACGTGGTTATGCATCCTGCAGGGAAACAAGTGAGAAATTGTTGCAAGCTCCGACCGTGGAGAATGGACAAAATGGAGCCGAAAATATATAAATGTTTTTCCAGTTTAGCAAAAGTATATATACAGTATAAATACACAACAGGCATCGGGAAATGATGCTCAATAGGTTCTTTTGTTCTTGAAATCATTTCGCAAGTAGAATTGTTGGCCGTGTGAATATTTTTTCCTTCGTCGCCATTAAAATACTATGACTCTATATAACAGAACACTTAATAATGTCCACTCCGATCGGAAAATAGTTTTGTTTTCCCTCGAATCTCAATTATGTGTCCCTGGACTTCCTCTCGAGAAACATTGATACTCTCGGGAAAAGGAAATTCTATTTCCCTCGGGTTAAGTGCAGTACAATATTTTCAAGACTCCAAGAGTAAACCTTCCGAAAAAAAACGCGGCTGAGTTTTAAATCAAAGCGATATAGTTAATATATTTATTAGTGTACGCACACCTTTGTTAAATATCCAAGCACATTGTTATTGGACTTGAGTTAAACATCTGGCTCCAGCTGGCCCTCAGTGTTATATATACATGATTGTTGTGGTTAGTTGGCGGTGCGAACTTAACAGATCAAATCATCTTCTAGACGTTGTCAAGATAAATTATGAACGAAGCAAACCATCAACTGTGAGTGGCCATCGCGCTAAACGCATTTTTTTAATGAAAAACAACACACATGCAACGATGCTCAGTTATTCATTTTATTCAATCTTGCTGACAAATTAGTCTTTTAGAATTGTGAATTATTCATGAATCGGGTGCTGTAAGCTCCCAGCCCACGAAGTTAAGCCATATGTTACACGATGATATAACTTAAATCTCGTAACGACTTAAAAACAACCCTGTTTGAATATGAATTTGTAATTATTTCGAAGTTTAACACCCAGGAATTGCCGGAACATATCTCTAAAACCATGCAAGCATATAAGACAGGATCATGTGACCAAATTCAACGTTATTTTATGAATGTCAAATTCTGTTCTAAAGTAAAGGCCGATTAGACTACAAGACTCTTGCCTAAACTGTCGCATGCAACCTGCTTACAACTTGAGTTAAACTGTGTAAATCAAGCGCACAACTCGCCTACGACAACATCCACGACAGTTGTGTGCTTGATTTACACAGTATACAACTCAAGTTGTAAGCATGGTGCATGCGACAGTCTTAGGCAAAAGTTGTGTAGTCTAAATCGGCCTTAGGATGACGGACTTCTCCTCTACATCATAGCTTCTGGAAGCAGAGTCCGTGCATGGGTGGGAGTCAACTGATCGGGATCCATAACGAACTATATATTCAAGCTTTTCAGAACTAGCGTCTTCGCCCCCAATTAAACTATATTGCCGGGATCCCTAGTGCATACCAGATGAGAATACAGTAAAAATACCAGATGAGAATAACTTTTAATTATAGAGAGTGTTTTCAATCAGTTCGCATCACCAAACCTAGTCGACGTGGATGGAAAAAGTGTTCTGTCTGGAAAGGCAGGAAACCTATATAAAGTCCCATGAAAAAGCTCGAAAATGACGGACACCTATGCAGATTCGCATTTTCAAGTTCATCGCTTTCCGTTAGGCTCCGCGGTAGTTTCCTGCATAGCCCACTCCTCCTTCCTGCATAGCCCACTTATTCGCCTCCACATGAATGGAGGCGAATAAACAAGTCCTGCATTTAAGTACGATCTGTCATCAAGGCAGCCATCAATCAAGATTGACTTTGAACTAAAACTCAGTTGAAACATAATTTATCCAAGGAGATCGAACCGGTTTGCATGCTACCGTAAACTAATGCCTCGTACGATCCCTCTCTTCGCCATCAATCAAGAACTTATTTTATCTAAAATATACTGTATAGTAGTATATGGACATTAAAATGTGCGGTGTTATGAATTAAACGCTTGTGGGGTTCTAACATGGCTATTCAAGTATAGTAACTCTAAAAAAAACCTGTAACAACCGAACCGTTCTGATGATTAAAATTACAAAGACGAAATGTTGCAGTAATTCCTAATATAGAGTATCAGGATTTGAATGTAATTGCATCTTGTTACATTTACAATCTTTGATAAGGCCGACAAACTGTTTTACTGAACAGTTGGTCTATATAGCGGGCCTACTGTATATGTCTTACATAAGACTTTCGTTATTTCAGGATTTCCAAGCTGGTATAAAAGAAGTAGTGAATTGTTCCCAAGCCGATCACAAAATCATTGGATTTCGAATATATGCATGCATGTATGTTGGCGTTATCAATTATAACGCCCCAACAGTTCAAATATTATTATAATTCAGCCACTGGGACACTAGGCGACAAGATGAATTATCCTGGTAAACGTCTCCCAAGCACTCTAGCTATCGCTGCAATTTTGTTATATCCATCGTGACGAAATCGTGGAAGTATATATAGCACCAGAGGCAGAGTTAAATCCATCCTCTTTTAAGGCTCGTTTACACTGCGACTTCTAGTCGGATTTTCCTAGAGTAGATGAGTTATGAATATAACATATAATAATGAAGCATAATATACAATAATGTATACCTTATCTGAACATTCGTAACTCTTCCACTCGTTCCCATTCATCCGAAGAAGAAAATCGCAGCAAAAATTGTAAGTGTATAAAGCGGCCTATATAGTAGTAATTTCCTTCACCTTAATTTAGTCCTTGCATGCGAAAGCTGTGGCTTAGAGGCACCTTTCCCACGGCAACGAACGAATTACAAACCTTACTCAAATTTGCAAGATTTTATGCGAAACAAGACGAATTTGGGCTCAACGAACAATACAAATTCCCGTTTGACAAAATAAAACTGGGTGATTTTGTGTATTACGGTTCCGGATTCATCCGGTCTCAGATGTTTTCTTCAGAATTAACTTGGAGCGGTTAAATCATTTTGAGAATCAGATTTTCGTTGCCCGGCAGGAAGGACTATAAAAAATTTGGCCATTACAGGCATTATTCGATTCATATAGAATACGGCTTCATATACAATTGCATGCTTTCAAAATTAAGGAAATCATTATGCGCTTCTTGAAGTAGTGCTCTATTTCAGCGCTTTGCCATTCGGAGGGTGCTAACATTCTCCACTTTATGAATCCGAGGACTTTTAAAAATTCTATATTTTTTCAATCTATATTTGAAGAATATAGTCCATATACAGCAGGCAAAAATTGGGAATGGCCCGCGTATGCGAGTGTTAAAAGATCAACTATGGGACATTTAATAATACATGAAGATGAGAGTTGAAAAAGAAAGACGCAAGTTAATAACAGAATAATTGCTTTATAACTGTAAGGCTACAAATATAAACTGACTTTCATTGAAATATTACATTTCTTTTCGTATTATTTGGGGAGATTTCTGAAATTTGAAACGGTTCCAGAGGACAGGCTTGTTTAACTGTTTTCAAAATAAATCCTAACGAAATTAAAGGAGATTTCTTACCTTAGTGTATTTAGCTGCAACACCTCTATATCGGACTGCCTCAGTCAATTTAAATCTCGTTAGTAACTTGTTAAATATAATGGAAAGCTTCGTAAACGAGTGAACGTGTATATACCGAACGAAATCCAAATGTAGAGTGTTCCTGGCGACTCCGCGGCCTATCCCTTGTGGCTAACGGCTCTCTTCGTGCAGTCTTAAATAACACCCTTTTCAATCATGAAAGGTTACACACCAGCTGCGATGCACTAGCGTAATTTACTGTCATTAACAAATCAAGTTTGTAGGTGTAGGCTTTTGATATGTTATTTTGATAAGAAATTCCTCTTCAATATTTCACACTTTAAGTTTAACTATATATATACTGCAAGTTAAATATTTTTATAAGTTACACTTCAGTAATAAAATCTTCATCGGCAAAACGCGTATGCCGAAATTAAGCATAATGCGCTTTCGAGTTTGTTAAGAGCTTTCATATCTTTTCTGTGGCTTTATTGTTTAATTTTTGATAGCGTTTCCCTCTGCTCTATGAGAGGCACAAAAATGAAGAACTGATTGGAGGATGCCGTGCAAACAATACATTTTGTGGCGAAAAGGCAAAGCAAATTTCCACCTGCTGATCACTAAAATTTCGCTATAATTTCTTGTCTTACTGATATATACTGCATGTATATTCTGTAAAAATCATAGTTTTGCCTAACATCTGATCTGTTTTGTGGAAGCACCGTGATTATTTACTTCGCAAACTGAGCTTTCGATCATTAAGCCAGCTAGAATTTCATTAACAGCAACAATGCGTATCGAGGTTAAATCTTTTCTATATTAATAATATTTGCGAAAATAAAAATCTGGGTTTACGACTTACGTATAAATATATTGAATACTTTGCGATATAATTATAATTGAGTTTTTCCACGAATCCAAACTATACAAGTCGAAAAGCAGGGGATTTAGTACAATATAACAGAATCTCATTTTAGAGAGCCTTTAGGCTTAGCCTATAATTTTCAATGGGAAATTTCGTATTTGCTTGACAAGTCTTAATATAATATGCATATTTAAAAAGCAAATCTTCGCTATATCTTCAACCAAAACAAGACAAGTCAGTAGACATTGTATTTATGGATAAATTTCTAAACACGAGTACTCTTACATAGACTTGCTGCGACTCGATTCCGCCGATTGTAACACGAGCCGTGAAACGAGTGAGGGAATAAAACGAATGGGCTTATTGTAACTTGTCTTGCATTGTAACGAGTGAAACGGAAAACGAGTGAGCGAAAAAAACGAATGGTTAACGAATGGCCGAACTTTAAGAAATTTGATTTCAACTTAAATAATACGATCCAACTTGTAACAAGTATTAACTCTTAACACTCTCTGCACTAGCTCGTTATACAGAACGCCCATGCATGCATGCAAATTGTCCTGAATTTTCAAAACAATTACACCTCATGAAGTAACAATAATTGTCCTTCTGCAAAGCAAATAAACAATATATACTCTATAAATGTATATAAATTTGATTCACAAATTCTTAGTTTTGCCTTTTGCCTTTTGGACATTTGAACATTCTCATTAAAGATAAACGATTTACTCGATAACATGCATAACTTAGCTTACTATACTATACTGAAGGGTACAATTTCAAAGAAAATACAACCAAAAAGTGAAAAAACATCCAAGATTTCGCTACAACAAATGAATTAGATTACAGATCCCTCAGGCAAAGACTCATATTGGCGGTCTCACATAATATGCAAAACGCGCAATAACAGGCATGTACGTACGTGTCATTTTGGTTTTCCACGCGCTGTCGAAGTATTAAAAGGTGAAAGGGGTTTAGTGGTCTAAGGTATTAAATCTTTTTGCGGTATTGTCATAAATAAATCACTACTGCTCTAAACACCGCCGAGCACAATGATAAATTATATACAATACCGCAGTAAGATGCACTCAAGATGGCTGCTATAGAACTGATCACAACTCTGATTGGCGCGTCATTATGCCTAACGCATACAGGGAGTATACTATATGCTATCCTAGCCAAAAGCTTCATTTCACCCTTTCTTATCTATTAGAAAAAAGTTATTCCATTTATTATAAAAAATCTTTGAAACCCCTTTCTACGACAAGTTTCATCTGAAGTCTTATTTGCTCGCCTGTATTCTAGGCAACTTTGCTAATTTTTACATGACAAGTATATACATGCACTTGTTCAAAAGCTAGTGCTAGCTTTTGAACCAGTGCTCTTGCCATAGAAAACATTCGCAAAGTACAAATTTTGTATAAAATGTTATGTAACAAAGAAAATTTGGCAAAGTAATTTGAGCACTATAGCATGCAGTTGGTCAGCGATGCATGTATTGTTGTAATAGCTAATAATACAGTATATATATATAGCTCGCGCGTGGCGGACAGAAAACTAAAAACTTGTCGTAGAAAATTTGTTGTACGTATACACGTGAAATTTGAAAATAAAACTTGCCACATGAAAAGTTGTCATAGAAAGTTACTTGTCTGTGTATAAGCAGCTTTAATATACCCTGTAAATCTGAGTCATACAACGGTAGCTAGAGCTCACAGAACTCACGATCCAAAAAGTATGCATGATTAATTTCGTGTTCATGTAGTCGACAACTTTAATGAACTATTAATAATAATTTTGAAAAAAACTGTATATAGTGCGGCACATCGATCATTCACTCTATGCAATAAATCTAAATATCTAAAAGGCTGACGAGATCAGTACAAGCAGTTCAAGAATCAAGAAACATTTAAATTATTAAAACTTTCTTCAGTGATGCATTACACATCTCCCGATTATCACGGGTTATTGTAAAAGCTCGTGCTTCACTTACTCAAACTCGCGACGAAAAATGAGTGTGGATTAAAAACGCGCGGTTTGACACCCACATAAATCGATCAATTTGTTTAGTATACACTCCGAATCATCTAGTTTCGAGACAGCGAAATGCATTAACTATAGATAAACAATCACATATTGTTATGACTGCATTTCGAAGAAAAAGCTGATACTTTATCTGAGATTCATTCATGCACAGAATCACTTTTAAGGAGCCGCTGTTTTATAGTTCCATATTTATACACAATGAATCTCGATTCTCCTATATATTCGACAGCACTAAGGAGTATAAGATACATGGTCATGGAGAATGTTGAGCCCGGGTTAACCGAATTCGCTGAAATGGTATCACACTCATTACCGGCAGGGCAAGTTTCAGCCCGCGCGTATTTTAAATCGGGCCGCAGCCCGAAAATGAGAAAGTTGATTACGTCCAATTACTTCACTTCTAGAAGCTTCATGTGGTTGCATATACAGATGGAACAAACGAAAATAAATACATTTCAAGCGATTTGAAAGATTGTATTTTTCAGTCCGGACTGAAGCTCATGCAAAAACTCTCGGCGCACGCATGAACGAGTCTCGCGTTCGAGATCGTTGGGCCGTCGACCCTAAATTTCCCCTCATCCACCAAAATATATAAACTGGTACGAAATGCAGTTTGAGCTAGAACATTGGTTTAGCGTCATCTATCTAAATATACTTCCAAAAGCTACGGAAAATATCCCAGATAATTGTCCCTAAATTTACTGATGGGTAATGTCGATGAAGCATCTGACTCCAAATACATAGTATAAATTATATTTTGCCGCTTCTATACTTTGCCGTTATAATAACGACTGCTATACAGTATATTAAAGACAACGTATTCAATGCAAATGACAATGAATTATTATAAGGTTCATACTCGTGCATAACCTTCAACAAAACAATTAATGTACACATTTGGGTTGTGTTTTAAGACAAAAAACTGTTGTGGGTGTTCACGGGAAAATTTGAACCACTCCATAATTTGGTTTTGTAGACTTTCCAGAAAATTTCCACGCTTATTCTGGGAAATTTCCACGTTTATTCTGGGAAGTTGTATTTCCCAGAAATACTTTGGAAGTTGAATTTCCGAACTTTTTTAGGAAATATATATAAAATTCCAACAGTATAGAAGTGTTTGAAATTTCCCAGTGTTTTATTTGAACGCGTGTAGACCGACGGGTCTTTCGTGTTTTCGGATATAAAAATCCCCGAATTTATCTCGAATTTTTTTGAATTTTTAGGTTTTTCGCATTTCTTTGTATTGAATGCAGGATGGATTTTCCATTTTTTTAAATAAAAAGTAGAATAAGTTCCATGCATTTAAGCTACAGTCTCGAGCGATATGCCCCGGCCTCAGAAGTGGTTGCATGTTATCATGCAGTTCCATGTGTTTTGTTACATTTATTGAACGTCACTACTAAAGCTGGTCGAAAAAACAGAACTGTAAATAGAACAAAACCAAATTAGCATCAAACACAACAAACTTAACTGGGCATTGAGTATTTCAGTAGATCCCACGGCTTCGATTCACACTTCCCGGAGGAATTCAGTCCAGCGACCATAATCTCGCAATATATGACGGGGAATTTCTGAGTCGATTATTAATATCTCCTTAGGCCAAACTTGGAAAATCTTCTTCCGTTAAGGCATGGGAACGACACATCGGACACGTTCTTTCAGCTTGTATCCACTCATTCACACACTACAAAATATAAATATTGTACTGTAGATCACCCTAGGAAAACATCTCTACCGAGGTCGCTACTCTAGTGATAATTAAAGTAAAGTAAACTGATGCTTTCGTAGATCACACGTGCTGTCAAACTAAACAATCATGAAGAAGAGAGAGCTCGCTGATCATTAGAACTCGCCGATCATTACCACAAACAATCCCTACCATGTAACCATGCATTACACACCTCCAGTCACTGATCTATATATGTACGATATGTACTCATAAATCATAACTGACGACTGGGTACGAGTCAGATACATGAAAAAAACCCCGAATCACCATGATTTAAGTAGAGATGGCGGGAATAATCTTACACAAGAGTACCTTATTTACTCGTTTAAAGATACGTTTACACGCTGCGATTAATCGTGTACGATTCGTTTTCTGGCGTATGTCATTGAGTAAACACGCGTAAGCTGGCTACATTTGAAATCTCTTTTAACGAAACGGCAATGAATTATGGCGCCAGCACTCATTTTAATACGCCAGAATACGAATCGTACACGCTTAATCGTAGCGTGTAAACGTAGCTTAAGCGCTGCCAATGAGGTAAGTGCCACACTTACTCACAACAATGCGGCGCTTAATTGAAGCACAGTCAGACAGAATGGTTTGTGAACAACTACACACGTAAAAATCTCACAACTTGTCAACAAGATGTGTTCGCAACAGGCTTGTAGCAAGCTTGTCAACGAGTTGTAACAATGTTGTTATTTTATCAAGTTGCTACAAGGTTGTCACTCACAACTTTGTTGACAAATTGTTGAATTGCAGGATGATAACAAGTTGTTGGAACAACTTGTAACAAGTCTGTTGAGTTCAACAACCTTGTAGCAAGTTGTCAACAAGCCGTTACTGGGAACAAGCAGTGCGAACACATCCTGTTGATAAGTTGTTGGAACAGCATTGCTACAAGTCTGCTGCAGGTTTGTTACAACTTGTGCGTTTTTACATGTGTACATGTACATATGAATCTTCAAGCAGCCTCACGAATTTATTCTAACTCCTGCACTATATATATAACGCTTTTAAATCAGTATACATTTCTCATTCAATTATCTTTCCAGAACTTGGAAATGCATGCAGTTCCGTTGTCAAGGCACTAATACATTCCATCTCATTGTGTATGATTACTTTTAAATGTATGAACCGCAACAAACCTTCCCGTGAAATGCATGTCCACATTCTAGGACCGTCTTGTTTTCCATCTCTTCGCGACATATGCTGCAAATTTGTGCCGCTGACTTTTCAGTCTGAAAATTAAGAAACCTAAAAGTTTACTTTGAATGAACCTTATATATAAAGATTAGTATAAAGATTGAAATTGGACTAGTAGAAAATGAATACAGGCAGCACTTGATTTGCAGGTTAATGGATTAATGATGTCACGAGGCGGGATGCCGTGTAAAGGCCTAGTGGATTTCCCAACTCTGCAGAACTCAATAGAGTTTATTTATTTCGCAAGAGAATCTACTGCTTTGTTTTGAACAACTATGCTCTCTGTCGATAGCGAAGATACCCATTTCCGGAAAGAACGTCACTTTGACTATACATGCAGCCTCGTTTTCGTATGTGTGACATTGGTTAAAGCCCAATGTTGAAATGTCGACAACCAGGCTCTATAGCCAAAGTGATGTACTTTCCGGAAGCGCAATTCATGCCTGACGGACGTCAAGGACTGCGATGTTATTCATATTCAGGCATGTGCTCCTAGCTGCACATTGTCAGTTAATAATTGTACATTTAAGGAACAAGACGGCATTTCTTTTAATAGAAATTATTACATACATTATCTGTATTCTCAGGAACAATAATTTCTCCCACGCGTTTCACGATTTCTTCGATTTTCTTCTTTCTAAACCCTTGATCACCAAAAGTTGTCTTTGCCAGTTTCAAGAGCACCATGAGTTCGTTCCTAAAATATTTAGAATCCCATTGCTATTTGAATAGCAAGTTATCGTTGTAGTTGATGATAACTCACTACAACTGCGTTATTGTCTAACAGCAGATACAACTTTTCAGTACAGTATAGAGGTGTGCATCGGATCGGATTGGACGTTTATTTATAATCCGACAATTGCCTAATGTTTAAAATCCGATCCGATCCGAAATTGTCTAATCCGATCCGAGTTTTGATAAAGAATTCCAATCCAATCCGATCCGAAGAATTCTTTAATAAAATAAATTTCTCATTCAAGTTGAAATATTTAACGAAATAAATATAAAAGCAAGAAATACATCTCAAGAAGCAGACAAAGTGACGTCCAATTGAAGTATCAAACGAATAATGCAGCGACAACCGCGATAATGCTTTGATAAATGCATGGATAATTAATTCTTGCGATAATGCGTGGATAATTCATTCATTTTATTTCGGATATCGAAGTCCGATCCGAACCGACTACGAAACAACTTTATCAATCCGATCCGATATGAATATTTTTGTTCCGAAATCCGAATGAATCGGATTCGGATTTGCACACCTCTAGTACAGTACCTTAATGCTATATGAATCAGTGTACGTGTCATATCACGATACGGGAGGGTTTTAAGCTTAATATTAACTTAACAATCGTTTAACCCCGTGGCACAATCCCAGAGCAATCATGTTCAACACAATACCTATCGACTCGTCAGCTGACTAATATGGATTGTAATAACATAGATGGTGGACGATTGGTTCGCACGGGCAGTAGATAAAAATTAAGATGGGTTGAAATGTTGCAATCTGGGGAAAATGCCAAAATCCCATCCTTTTAAAACACTATAGACCCGAACACCACAGATTCGATTCCTGCTGGATGATCTATAGCTAGTTGCATTTTTCGCAACTGCTCCTGGTTGTACCGGGTGGCCCAAAAAAAAGTACTCCTGTTTGATTCGTAATAACTTCTAAACAAGTAAAGTTTTTAAAGAGAAATAACTTGCATTAAATAGAGGAAGGACTAACTTAGATTTTGATATATTACAGTTGTATTTAACTTAAAAATTCACGGATATATTAATGTTAAAAATGGGGAGCATATTTTGGAATGTGTCTAAAATTAGCGAAAATCGGCATATCAAATATTAACTCCAGCGTTTGTTTGCTTAATGACATATTAGGCTAACTTGTATTTCAGCGAATTATCGTTAAGGTTTGTAAGGGATATGGCGTAGATTTAGACATCTTACATGTAAGTCTTAGCTCATTGTTTCCTGAAATATGAACGTTCGAAATTATGCAAGTATTTAATATTAGGTCTTTGCAAACTTAAATGTACATGAAAGACTGACCATGGAAGGCAGGCGCTTAAATTTTTCGTATTCTTAAATAGCCTAATTTTTTATGTTTTTAATGGGTTCAAACAGACTGAGTAGATTATTTCTCGGTTAGAGCAGGATGAATATTCTTTATTGAAGGAAATAATATTGCTTTTTGCAAATACACATCACCGTATCAACGCTACTATTTTGTTACGTTTTGTTCCAAAAATGTTGCATGTCTCTGGGGAGTTGCTTAATTGTTATGTCTTATGGAGTTGTATGGTTTGATTGTGTTTCATATAATTCTCAGTTTACTCCATGAACTTGCCAAGATTAAGAAACGGCAAAAGAGTTTGGGTGTTCTTAACAAGATTTCAAACGTTGCAGAAGTTAGAAGAGCTTCACAATTCCGTTGTGACAGCATGCCCTAATTCAGAACTACGGACGATCCAATGACGATCCTTCGCGATGCAGTGGTCTCATGAAATAAGGAAACGTATTCGTGCTAGGAACACACGCGAATTTCGGACGAATGAATCTTGCTTGTATTTTGTAGATATAATAATACTTTGTTTCATAATAAACAATTTGTCAAGTGTCATTTATTTACTGGTAATAGTGCATGTTTCAGTCGGGCAAATCTTGATTAATATTTGATACGCCGATTTTTGCATATTTCAGACACATCCAGAAATATCCTCCCGAATTTAAAGATTAATATCTCCGTGAATTTTTAAGTGAAATACAACTGTAATATATCAAAGTCTAAGTTAGTCCTTCCTCTATTTGATGCAAGTTATTTCTCTTTAAAAGCTATACTTGTTTAGATGTTATTACGAATCAAACAGGAGTACTTTTTTTTGGGCCACCCGGTAGGTCTAATTAAAGTATAAAATTCACACTCGAAATTTTCATCTACAAAACCTTTCTACAATTTATTAGATCCATTTAGTTCGACCCCCTTCCTTAGGGGTCACATTTTTTTAAATAATGGGGGGGGGGAGTACAGAAAAGGAGTGGGTTGGTTTAAAAGAACGGGTTTGAGCAAGACGTTTTTTCAAAGTGCAGAAAAATCAAGACTATATTTCAGGCCTTTCCAGAGGATATTTTGGGTACGGTGATGTCACAGAGTCTCAAAAATTTTGGCGCCTTTTTTGGCATATATAGATTGCGCATGATAAGACTTAATCACTGAATTCCGATCCATTGGCAAGCGTTAACCTGTAAAATTTACTCACTGAAATAGTTGTCATAAGAAGGGGAAGGTTGGGAAAAGGGAGGACATTGGAAAGAAGGGAGGTCGAAAGTTTTAAAAAAGGGTGACACATTACTTAATCACGTATAAGATACGAATTACCTTGTTCTTGACGGGAATTTCTCTGTCAGCTGATTCATCAGAATATCGAAAGACGATAAATTTTTCTTCGCTTTATCTTTTTCTTGCCTCGTACTAATTTTGGTATGATCCTTAGAGCGTGAATTGAGATGTGATAAACCTGAGATAGGTCCGCATGTAAAACTTGGAGGGTTTGTTTTCAAACCAGGTGCAGGAATATTCTGCCCAAAAGGCTGTGTATATGTCTGAAGAATTGACATATCAATAACTGCTGGGTCGAATAAAGGATGAGCAAAACATCCCTCTGTACCATTTGACAATGTAGAACCCACGTCGAGCTTAGTAAGCACCGAGTCAACAGAAGTATTAGGATTACATGGTGTTTGGTGGATAGAATTAGCAGAGGGAACATTGATCTTCTCCGAAATAAATGTTTCTGTTGTTGTCGTTGTTTTTGTCGTGCTGGTAAAGCTTTGGGATGATTCAATACTGGTTGTAACCTGTTTACTTGGTTTGACCTGTTTGGTTGGTTCTTTGACAGGCGGAACACTTGAGAAATGTCTAGCAGTGTTCAACGAGTCGGAATTAACCTCGGGCGTGGTAGGAGTAACTGTATCATGACTTTCAGGTGTTTCAACCTCAGCAGTAATACAACTTTTTTGCGGGACTTCAGCATTGACAGAACTTTTTTGTGCTACTTTTTGAGGCTTGGAAGGCAAACCTGAGTGTACGTTTGAATGTTGACTGTCTGAATACTCCGATTTCCAACTCTCTGGCATAAGTGGTGGGATTACCGTTTCTTTTTTCTGTGGATATTTCTTATCGGCCGAACAAAAACCATTATTTATACCTAAAATTGTATCATCAAGACTTTGCGATCGCTTTACATTTACTTTCTTGTCAGAAGATTGAGGTTTGTATGGATGTGAGGTCGATTTTGCCCCTTTCGTTTTCTTCTGTACAACAGTCCAGTTTTGATCATCATCACCATCTAAAGCATTGATGCTATCTAAGCTGTCCATCTTTTTCTCCAAAGACGTATTTTTCTCTGACGACATGGTGGAGGCTGAATGATTCACTTCTTTTACTCTTGTTTCCTTCTCCCTGAAATTCATTCAAGTAACATTAACTCAAAATCTGGGCATAGTAGACAACATTTTTTATTACATAAAATATATGTATATGCCTTTCCTTTTCATACCTGTACTCATTGAGTTCACATATCAGTTCACATATCCCTACCTCCACTCTAAAAGAAAAAAAATTAGAACGACTGCAGTTTCATATGATTCTAAAATCGAAATTCTCTAATACCAAATACTTCTCATTTATTTTAGCAGTTAACTCTTTCCTTAGTTGTTTTCAGTTAATTAATTAAGCAGGTACAGGTACGATTCCTGCTTCTGGTGGGGTATACCATCAATCGACTCCCTTCCAGAGGTATGGTGCACTTTCATTGACCGAGTACTACAGTGCAAGAACTGGGAATAGAGCCCCAAACGAAAACTTTCAAAGTCACAGATACAGGGTCCCCACCTTTTAGTGAGTATGAAATTCAAGGACTTTTCCAGGACTTTCAAGGACCTTTTTCAGTATATTCAAGGACCTGGCAACTGGAAAAATCTTTGAAAATCATCTAACTTTTATCCTTAAACTTAAGGAGAGGAATGCAATTAGAAAAAAATGACATCGAAACAACTTTTGGACAATTGTTATACATAATTTTAATTGAAATTGGAGAAAATAAACATTTGGGCAATAATCCTTGGGCTGGTAATAACTCTTCAATTATTTCCAGCCTATTGAAAAAAAATTGCAGGACTTTCAAGGACCTTATCAGTTTCCAAGGACTTTCCAGGCCTGGGTTTTTTTTTTAAACAAATTCAAGGACTTTCCAGGATTTTCAAGGACCGTGGGGACCCTGCAGATAAGACTAAGCGATAAGTGAACTTGAAAACAACCACCTGATCTTTATCTAAATACTCCAATAGCTGCTGTGGGTAATGTGAGAAATGGTTGAAAAAATATTTAAAGCATGCACTGTATGAAGCACCGAGACAAACGAATTCAAATATTAAACACGATATATATCCTATCTATTCATCATCCTGAAAAAACTTTGCAGTTTTCTGCCAACTTTTAAGAGAAACTTTGACTTTTGTATGAAACAGTGAATAAAACACCTCTACTGTATGTACACTGTAATATCAATTTCGAGTGCGAAAATAAATATTTGCTGTTTGTAAACCTGCATGGGGTTTAGCTATAAGTGGCCTAAACCTCGAGGCACTAATCGAGGATGACCTTTATCGTTCTTACCAGCGTTAGTACAATAAATGAAAACATCGATGTATGACTGGTTAAGGTTACAAGGGTTGCATTTATGAGTGGGGTAGGCTTTACGTTACTCATAAATTGTAAGAACGTTAACATACGCTTATCTTTACCTGTCCTTGTCAAGTTTACTTTGACGTAATTCACCTTCCAACATTGCTGCTTTAGATACAGCACTACAAATTTGAAAATAAAGCAAACAATTCAATATCATCTGGCAGCATGTTGCTGCAGAAATGATAACTTATCTCTTTCATTTCATTGCAAAAGTTTAAAACCATATATATCTTGTACCATGCTTTGTCCATGATAACTTGTTCCAGTTGTTCTTTCAAAGTAATCAAATCTGTCTGTTTTCTACGAGAATTATGTTGGAGGTTAAAATAATAATAGAATAGAACTGTTTTTAGATCTGCTCCGATCGGTTCATTACCGTAATCGATAAATCGTCATCAACAATCGATTAAATCGTATTGCATAAACTTAGACACGTCCACATGCAGAATGGGCGGATTTACTGGGGGTTGAACCCCAGAATCTCTCTAATCCCCTAGAATATCTCTAATCCCTCGTTCAACCCCACCAACCTTCACCCCTCCTATTTTGAAAGTATTTAACCCTAACGCAAAACCCCTGTCGAAGCTCGCTCAGTGGTGCCGCTTGCACCTGACTAGAAATTTTTCCACCCCTCCTTTAAAAAAATGAAAATCCGCCCTTGACATGCAGCGGTTAATGTTACTTCCAAGAAGGGAGCACGTGTTATAGTTTTTACTTGATGGCTACAGGCAAGTTAGTAGTAGGCTAGTAGCAGAGAAATAAAAAACAAGGGCGCGTTTGTCATTTGATCATATTGATATGCAATACCATCTCCTTAATTGTAATTTTTTCAATTGGGAAAGAATATTATAAGAAGTATGCACGACTTGATTTGATTATCGTTAAGAATAATCGATTGTCAAAAAACATAAAACATTGATTATCGTATAAATATATGTAATTCAGTCCACAGTGATACCTTTCATTGTCCTTCAACAGCATATCGTACTTGTTTGACAAACCTTCGACAACATTCCATGCCCTGTAAAATATCAGCAAAGCTTAATACTACCCTCCCAACACAACATATAATGTTATACTGTACCTCCGATGAAATACGCACTTAGCTTGCTTCAAAATAAAACACGCTATAGTTTGAAAAACTTAACTCTAATCCCCTCCCGAAAAATGTAGGGACTCCTTCTCGTGATCTGATCATAACCTTTCAGATGGCATCTGCCTATGCCAACAGACTGTCTCTTATGCGTAGGGACTTGGGATATATAGAAATTATATTGTGATTCTCCTAGTACACACACACACACACAAAGCACTCTTCTCAGATATATTGAAATGAAATTGTTATCGAAAACAGAATACAGGGTGTATTAAAAAAAGTAAGACAATTTTGAAATTGCTCTCAATTCCACAATTCTGTTCATGAAATGTAATTTTTGATATGTATGGATTGCTTGAGTTCTTACATTATGGAAAATATAAAAAATTTTGAAAATAGTAAATTTTGCTATCCAGGGGGGTGGTCAACTTTTGCTCCCCTAAAAGTGGCTTGCATGCGCACGGAAATGACAAACGGTATTCTTTATTTGAGTTCATGTATGAAAAGTTATTAAAAGCTATTTGTTGTATTTATGATAAAATTTCGGCAGGATTTTACCGAGTACAAATCCTCCGAAAAGCCTATGAAAACGTAACATTTTTCTCCGTTGGTTCTGTTCTTGCTTCATTATGAATTCACAAATTACATTTGCATTTTGATTTTAAATGAGTCATGTCAATTATGTATCTTAATTCTTTAAGTAAATAAAATTTAAAACTCGCGCATGTTTTTAAATACTTTTGAATAATGACATTTATTTAACATCTGGAGTATAAAACAAAGGTAAATTTTACGGCAAAAAAGAAACGAATTGTCTTAGTCTTCAACGTGTCCTCCATTTCGTTCTGTGCAAACTTGCGCACGTCTAACCATGTCAAAAACAACACGGCGTATCATTGCTCGATCTTGTCTGAGTACATCTCTTCGCGGATTCGTCGCTCAAGTTCTGCAAGATTTTCTGGTGGCGTTAGGAAAACCTTGCTCTTCAGATAACCCCAAAGAAAAAAGTCAAGCGGAGTAAGTTGTTCGCCTCGTGGTTGGTATTCTCGAATGTTTCGGGTGTTGACCGAAGCATTCAGTGCAAACCCTGATTCGTCGCCGATGAGTAAATCGTCAAGAAAACTGTCGTTCCGATCACGTAGCCACTTGCAAAACTGTAGTCGACGCAGATGATTACGTTGATGAAGTTGGTGCCGTTTAATCATTTGATAAGGATGAAATCTCAAATCTAAACGTGTTATCCGGTTGAAGGTTGCCGAAGACAAACCAAGTCTGTTTCGACGATAACTTAACCGCGGCCTTTCACCATTTAAACGCTCTCCGTTGGCTTCTTCAATAGCATTGCGTACAGCTTCAATGTTTTCAGCACTTCTCGCTGTTTTTGGACGACCCGAATTACCCTTATTGTTCAAGTTACAACTCGTCCCGTTACCACGATACTTCCTAACATTGTAATAAATATTCGCACGTGAAGGGCATCGTACATCTGGATATTCGTTCGTGAAACTTTGGCGAACCAAGTTTATGTTGTTGCTACGGAGGAATTCTGATACCATAAAAGATCTGCTGCGGGGTAAATTGTGGCATCGCCATTTCAAAGTGTACGGGGTATTATACGAGCAATTGCGTTTCAGCACAAAGAACTCGAAAGCACAAATTCCATGGAACTCTCATGGGAGTAAAAATGAATTCATAATGAAGCAAGAACAGCACCAACGGAGAAAAATGTAACGTTTTCATAGGCTTTTCGGGGGATTTGTACTCGGTAAAATCCTGCCGAAATTTTATCATAAATGCAACAAATAGCGAACTTTTCATACATGAACTCAAATAAAGAATACCGTTTGTCATTTCCGTGCGCAAGCCACTTTTAGGGGAGCAAAAGTTGACCACCCCCCTGGATAGCAAAATTTACTATTTTCAAAATTTTTTATATTTTCCATAATTTAAGAACTCAAGCAATCCATACATATAAAAAATTACATTTCATGAACAGAATTGTGGAATTGAGAGCAATTTCAAAATTGTCTTACTTTTTTGATACATGCACCCTGTATACGCGCATTCTTTTCAGAAATGGAAAAATGTTCACATGCAATAAAGCTATACTCAATGAATTTAGAAAACTATATTATATGGACCCTAAATATCAATCTGTAGGGTCACCTTTATATGCATGAACCGATCAAAGATCAGTTTTGGAAGGGTTGCTAAATATTTCAAGGTTATATTTTCTATGGTTTGCTAACTCGTCTAACCCCACGGTTATTACACATGCAGTTAGCTTGCACCTTATTCCGAATAGTTTTTTTTTCTTCAATTACAATTATATTATAATTATGTATTATATATATATATATATATATATATATATATATATATATATATATATATATATATATATATATATATATATATATATACTATAGAACGCAAATGTGGTGCTGCATCCGTTCCGCACGTTGTAACCAATAATCTATTGGCGTTGTAATGCCATTGTATGCAATATAGTATTGGGTTGCAGGGCTACAAATTACTGTCGGACATCGGACAATGTCCGACTAAATTTGCAATAAAATTTACGAGGCATTCTAGCATTTTATTTAACGTTGTGCCGGAATGGATATACATACTTGTCTCGTGACTTATATATATCTTGTGACGTATATATGTCCGACCAAATTTAGTGGTGTTGGTTTTTGTCCGACCAAATTCAAGTTATGTCCGACCAAAATTAAAAGTGATCGAACAAATGTCCTGTCAAGTCAAATATTTGTTTGCAGCCCTGCAACACTGTGGTATGGTATCATGGAAACAACATTGTTTTAGGGGGGGGCGAATAGGATGTCTCAATAATTTTTGTTCCTGATTGTAGGCCTCTTTGCATGAAACAAATAAGTCCCTTGAAGCCCCCGCGGTGCAAAACAGAGAATTTACCGTTACACATGCTTAATAATTGTTAAATACTTGAGCAATGCATGGCATGTACCTTTCTTTCTCGGACTCAGATTCGTTAAATTTACTGAATAGCGAAGTCACCATCGTTCGTTCACTGAAAGATGACAAATTAATATACAGTGTACACTACTCAAAATGTGTATCATTAATATAAACCTGATCAACTAATACACGTCTAAACAAGTATAAACAGTAGGGCATTTTTTAAACCATTACAGCTATTAGGGCAAAGTCTTAATGAGGGTCATTCCCCATACAGGTCATTCCCCATACAGGTAATTCCGCAGTTTTGCATTGCGCACTTTTACTGCGCATATCTTAGAACTTATAATTTCATTCATTATACGTATCGTTTAAAAAAAATCATTTTATTACAATTTTATGTTACTTCAAAACATCTTTGGTTACATTCGTGCAAAGAATTACGTTACTATCGATGTTTTCGAAAAAGGCATACAAAAGTGTAGCTAGGGTTCTCTGTGTCTGTAGTATATTTATTTACTTGTATTTCACGTTTTAATGCCACAACTCCCTAAAAAGATCGGTGACCCCCGTTTTTTAACTGATAATTTTTTTCTTTAAAGTATTTTACATTTCATATCCGAAATTAAAAGAAAAATCATTTCTGGATCATGAAAAAAATCGCAATAACGTCAATAAATATCGGGCTGTTGTAATTTTGCTGTTACTTGTAATGAGCGTCAAGATGGCGCCATATTGGGGTAAAGGTGGTATATTGTGATTGTCATATCGAGTTCGGTGACCCCAACTTTTTTGTGTGATTTTACTTTAAGTATATCATAAACTCCATGTCTGGGAAGTTTCAGCACATTCTCATTTCGGGAACAATTACTGCGGAATTACCTTAAGTGTTAATTAAGGCCATTCTGTGTCGACCTTTGTAAGATGGGATGTCGCGAGAATATGAGAGAATATGAGCAGGCAGATGCAGCTTTCTCAAATGATAAAAATGGAGGTTATGTTTTCATTCGCGTTTCTATGTGTTAAGATATACTAGTATATACAGTATATATGAACATTTATGATAATTGTTGACATTTATTGATAATTGGCACATGACCATGATACGTAATGACACTCTTGAAAAACGTTCGTTGTTCGTTGTACTTTTAGTAAAAGGCATGTTTGTGAATACGAAGCTTCTTTAAAGTGCTTTTTTCTGCAAGTATGTGTGTCTGTCTGTCGATAACTCAAAAACTATCAACCGTATTAATATGAAAACAGCTGTGGGACTAATGGACAAATTGGTTAAATTTTGGTTAAATTTGGATGAAAATTGTATGCGAAATTAGCAAACGTTTGTCTTGTTTTGCCGGCCAGAGTAACTGATTGCGTAGTAATTATCCCATGATTGCATAATTTATGCATGGGTACATAACTTAATTCGCTGGCGGAGGAATGGAGTATCCGAGTGCCCTCTAGTTATATAATTAATAAATGCTCCGTTAGGTTTCAGTATCGTGTATCCATGCAAGTTTTTTGTCATCGCATTCGCAGCTTAGTCCACAATGTGACCACGAGGGACATAGTTGTGACGTCACCGCTTAGAACTTGGACACAGAGTAGAGAGATACAGAGACGTAACTGACCGATGTAAACACTGCGGAAGATTACGTTATCATGTACCCACTTTCTTTCAGGCGACCGGGCGAAAACTGATCAACTGCGTGACTGTGCTCAGCAAGTTTAAAGTGAGTCGTCATCAGGTCGTCATCCAATCAGATGCATGCATCTAGTAACTTGCCGAGCATGCGCACAAAAAAGTGGGTACACTAGTTACGTCTCTGTATGTCTCTACTATGTGGCTTGGGCCTAGGCTGCTTATATCCTTAACGTTATTTACTTCGATAATACCTAACTCACATCTTTCTAAACTCACATGTCTAGTCACTTTCAATTTACGGAAGCACAGAATAGACATAAGTGACTTAAGGCTGCATTCCAGTTACGCGTTTTTCATACGTGCGTACACGCACGTAAAAGTTGAATTCGCTTTACATCCTACTTATGAAATAACTAAATTTATAAAAGGACAGCATTCAGTTTTATGTATGATTTAATGTGTATTTGTTAAGGTTATTTGCACTTATATAAAATTTTAAGCGAATTCAACTTTTACGTGCGAAAAACGCGTAACTGGAATGCAGCCTTTAGCATCAGAGTTACGTCTACACTCTACACTCTACAGTAAGAGTTGTCAACTCGTGTATACATACAATTCTAAACCCGGGCTTAGTTACCTTTGCTCTATTATATGTTTCTGCAAACTAGGAGAATAGTAACTAGGCATGTGAGTTATCTAATGTTGGGAATAAACAGACGTTATATCCAAACTTGTCTATCACGTGTAAATGTAGTATACCTTGCTTGGCCATTTTCATTCTCTTGTAGTCTATTTTGCAGCGTTGTAACTTGAGATTGGAGCCTAAACGGAGTCAACAATGATTTTAATTATATTTACTACTTTATATCAACAACCTGCGCGATTCAAGAATTTAATCATTTTTATTTTTTCATACAACTCATGCATTTTAAAACACCCAAAGGTACAGGGTATAATCTCGGTTAACTTTTTGAATTTCAACACATTATTCGGTGTTTCAAAACTGCACTAGCAGACTTCCATAGGATGTGTCTATATGAGCCTAGTTTGCCGGAAAACTCACCCACGGGATGACTTATTTCTGTGTTCATATGACCCGGTTTTACCTCATCTAATATCACGCCTCAGATACTTGTCTATTATCACGCTCCGCCTTGGTAGTGCCTTCTATTGTTATTTTTTCCATCTACGTTGCTCAAAATTGGCCAAAACATTTCCATTCCAGTTAGGTGAGATTAAGCAAAATTTCATATTCCATGAGTATATGTGAAATTTCATATATGAAATTTCAAGTTCCCTGTTAGTTGGGCCATGGCTATGGCTGGGCTCATATAAGGTCCTGATCAGCTAGTGTACATTGTATCACTCACTGGTGAAATTACATGGTATACGTAAGATCACCACACCTTGTATTGTATTGTTCCGATTCAATTAGCCTCTCAGTCAAAGCTTCCACTTCCTCGCTTAACCTATAATTAAGATGGAATGCATGTGCAATTCGGTAACTGCATAATAGTGGAAGTAATGCATGCACTGTATAAAGTCAAATACTACTGTAATTATCAAGAAGAAGCGGGAATATTTTGGTGTATGAAGTCATTGATGCATGGCTTATGGTTGGAAATTGCGTTTTACTGTCAAACTACACGATTTGCATACAGCTACTACATGCAAATCAGATCCCTTCATAAAAATATCGATATTCCCACCTTCCATCGCGGCATAGCAAGACTATAAAGGATTTAGTCAAATATCTTACTGCATGAGCTTTCAGGGCAATTAATAAATCTTTTCAACAAAAATCATGTATTATTTCGTTATATAGAAAGAGGGGGCCTTATTAAGGAGAGTGGTTTAATAAAAGGAGGGCTAATAAATTTAATGCGGGGGGTTATTAGAGATGCAGTTTATTTGGGAGTGGTGCTTATTATAGGGCATTCACGGTCCACAGCCCAATGGTGAACATTAGGACAGGCACACACCCCTCTCACAGCCTTTGAACGACAGCAAATTAATAAAGTATGTGGGTGGGAATATGTCGTCAACCTAAGTTCATAACCGTAATACTTCGTGCAGAGTCGACCAATGCCCAACAGCAAACAACATTCAGTTTTAAGGTATAAATTATGAATTAATAAAACAAAAAGATGACGAATAAAAAACAGATTGAAATTATAAAATAAGAAGAAAAAAAAGGGAAACAGTTAGGCAAGAAACGAAAAATATAATAGAAACACGAAATACCGAACGATGCAAATGCACAAAACAGAAAACCGGGAATATGAAACACAAAATGAAAATCCTGTGCATATACATACATTGAATTTCTTTCTTTAAGCTTCGTTAGGTCGCATGTCAGTTTCTAAAATTATGACATTTAAAACCAAATAATTATTACAATTGCAGAGTTACAACTTTTAGATATATTTCATTTAAGGTTTGGTCATGGGAACATTAAAAATTCTTCTTAACTAGGTTATGGGGGCTTCGGTGACGCAGCCGTCTGAGCATGCGCCTTTCACCTCTGCAGGGCTGCAAATTACTGTCGGACATCGGACAATGTCCGACTAAATTTGGCAAATGTCCGAGCAAAAGTAATTTTGATCGGACATTGGTCTGATCACAAAAAAAATGTCACATACATTTATACATTTTTTTGCTGTGACAAAATACAATTGCAAATTCACTCAATTTGCATTTTGCAATAAAATTTACAAGGTATTCTAGCATTTTACTTGCAGTATAAACATTGCGCCAGAATGGCTATACATACTTGTCTCGTGACTTATATATATCTTGTGACGTATATATGTCCGACCAAATTTAGTGGTGTTGGTTTTTGTCCGACCAAATTCAAGTTATGTCCGACCAAAATTAAAAGTGATCGGACAAATGTCCTGTCAAGTCAAATATTTGTTTGCAGCCCTGCCTCTGAGTTCGAGACTCGCTATGGACTCATGTGAAAAGAGTCTGACAACGCTCTGCCGAAAGTCGTGGGTTTTCACTGACCAGGCGCTCTGGTTTCCTCCTACAGAGAAAGTTGACAGGGTGGGTTAGGATAAACATAGTTAGGAAAGTAATATCACAATTGTTGTAAAAATAAATAGTCTAAGCTTAGTAGGTAATATAAGTAATCGTAATACTTGGTGTAATCGGTCACTGAAAAGCTCCGATAAGGAGTGAGCTGAATAATCATAATCAATCATAATCGTTATTCTTTCCCTTTCGCTTATTTTTTGGACAAAAGGAACCTTTACTGGGCTGGGCTACATACTAGTTTACTGGTAGACTTGCTCCAAGTATCTCTTTCATTGTCATATAGTATCGATCCACTATAGTGTATATTACATGACGTAGTACGGAGGGGCGGAGCCAGAAAGAGAGACTTGTCAACTTCGGGAAACCTCGGTTCAAAACTGAACCGAAAATGCAAGATTTGCTTTAATTGTTTTCTGTTAGTGTTTACATGTATTGATCTAGCACAGTGTAAATAACATGAGTTCCATTATACTGTAGTAAATAATACACAAAGAAATTGAAGGAAAACAATTAAAGCAAGTCTTGCATTTTCGGTTCAGTTTTGAACCGAGATTTTCCGAAGTTGACAAGTCTCTTTCTCGCTCCGCCTCTCCGTTATGTAATGTACACTATGGTGGTTCGATATGACAATGAAGAGAGACTTGGAGCAAGTCTAGTTTACTGGAGGCCAACATGTGGGCTACAGGAGGGACATGGCCCCTCGGTTTATATGTTAAAAGATGCTCTTCGTATATTAAAGCGAAACTGGCATGCTTTACGGAGAGATAGTGGATGATGTTAGAGGAAAATGTTTGCTGCCAATAAGAAAGCCGCGGATTAATAGACTGAGATATAACTACCTGAAAAATACAAGGAGAACTGCTGAAGTTCTCAATACAAGGAAAACTGAAGATCTCCTCATCTCCTTGTGTTTATGAGGTAGTTGTATCTCTATCAATCAGCAGCTTCCTGGTTAAGACAATGTAAATAATCCACGCCTCCTGTTCCATTTTCAGAACTACCTCAACTTCTTCTTTTAACGCGTCTTTCGCTTCATTCAAACTACTGATTGTTGATTTGCTTTCCTCTCTTTCCTTCATGCAATCTTCTAATATTTTAAACTGTTGTTTCTTCTCATTTAAAACTTCTTGAAACATTGCCAGTAACTTTTTATCTTCATTCATTGGAGAAATATCCGTCTTTGAAAGGGACGTCTGTGGGAGGGTTGCGAGTCGAAGATCATCAGGTAACACCTCAGATGTTGCAGCAGATCTAGGTACAAACTCTGTAGCTGATGGTGACAGGTCTGTAAGAAAATTGAAGTCCAACATGAAGGGTAAAACCGAAAATCGTCTGAAAACCCCCGAAAAAAAATTGTTTTTAAACCTTATCTCCAAAATTTACTAAAATTGGATTAAACTTCACGCTACACGTTCAAGAGTTTACTTTTAAAACCAATAGACCTTATGTATGACCTCACAAGGTTTGATGCCCGCGAGGAATGCTGGTCTTAGTAGTCATCGCCCGGGAAAATTCAAAAATTCAAATTCTACTAAGATCAGCATTCCTCGCAGGCATCAAGCCATCATTATGCATAAGGTCTATTGCTTTAATGGTCAGCACTGCCTCAATATGTAAGCGGTAAGCCAGCGTTAGGTGTGTAATATTCTCACGTTTTTAATGTTTGGAAGTTGGAACTTTCGTCAAAAAACGTTGAACTAGCGCCGTGACTTTTTCCGGGTTTTTCGTTTCCTCCCGTTTTTTTTGCCTAGAGTTTTTTTTCAAAAGACATTGGTTTTTCCGGTTTATCGATTAAACCGCCTTACCCAACATGAAAACATTAAGTACTTTGTACGTGCGGTGCAGTATGTCTTTTTAAACGGCCTGGTTTCCAAGACATTGTGACGGCTGGGACTATATCGAGTGCAATTTGGATAAAACATGCACGAGTGAGATTTTCAGTTGCATATACAACCTACTATATTATGGTACAAATACAATAACGTCATGTAAGAAACAATATAGTTGGACAACACTGTCAACACAGAGATATCTTGTCTAGTTGCATACCCGCAGTAGCGCCTGTTTCATTACCAGGACTCGACACTTTGATTCCATTTCGTCTTGCCAAAGTCTTGAAATTATCAGCAGCATCTTCAGTTGTGTATTCTATATGAGGAAACATATACACATTTCCTATGTGGCTAACACGTTTGCTACATTTGTTCATGACCACCAAATAAGGTCAAGAGCATATTCATTTTTTCATGCACAAATAGAATGACGTAATGGAATGACGAGAATGCAAGTTTTATGTTTCACTGTCGCAAGATAACGTTTCGAAAACTGAGGCCTCGATTCTCTGCGCACCGTAAATCGGCCGACTAAAATCGTAACGTGTGTGCTTGGCTTAAACCAATCATGTCATGCCGACTGACGTACATTGTTTTCTTCACACGAATAAAACGTGTGCAACTTTGCATAGAGGCATCAGTCGACATTTCTGTCAATACGGACGTCAAGCGTTACAATGGTGGCCTCAGGGCTTTATGATCCCAGCTAGTCCAGCTAACGGGAGTAGATAAAATGCGGACCCGGACTGGCGGACTCGAGTAATATATCGTTATCGCGAGCCAATCCGCGAGTCCGCGTCCGCATTTTATCTACACATTACAGCTATAGCTGGGAAGTTCACTTGAGTGAGATCGGCATGCCATTAGTTAGTGAGATCCGCATGCCCTTGATTAGTGAGATCTCATCTTGCGCTGGGCGCTAGGATCTCAGTCAAGTGGGATGACGCCCTCATTTGGAAACTTTTATAGCACCTTACCCGCTTACCGGGATGGACTTTTTTTTGCCAATTTTGACCTACAATATAGTTTTGAACAGCATACAAACAAAAAATAAACATTCATTTAATATACCCAAACAGATATTAAAGGCACAGTTCAGCCTTTTGAATGATGGTTTTTAAGGCGCATTTCAGCCCATTTAATTCTTTGTTTGCAATCACGTGACTTTTCTTTTTTCATCCAAATGAGGGACAATCAAACAACTTGTGGACGATTTTCCTCCTATCAGAATGGTTGTAGCAAGAAAAACTGAACGGTAATTCATCTTTTGAGTCTTAAACTGTCTCTAAACTCGATCAATACATTAAAATAGCCGTTTTTTGTAGAATTGAAAAATTAACTAGGAAAATCAATTATGCATAATTGAAGATCAGTAAACTCAACGTTTTAAACAATAAAAATGTTTTAAAATGCGGTTAAAAACATTAAGTTTGCCGATCTTGAATTATCCGATTAATTGATTTTTCAAGGTGCAGTTTGTTTAATGGATGATTCCAGCTATAGCCGACTACTGTAAATTTTGATCTAGGCAAGAAGAACAAAATCCATCACCACAGCTAGAAAGAGCATGTTAAAATTAGTAAAATTGCAAAGTTTGGCCGCGAAATGTTGTAAAATGCGGAAACTATAGCCCTGCGAAATTTGCAAATTTTGCATTAATTTGTATTACGCGCGAGAACGTTCGGACCACATTTGGGCCGAAAGTTGTGCATTTTCCTGTGCGTAATACAAATTAATACAAAATTTGCAAATTTCGCAGGGCTATATTGTCCGCGTTTAACAACAAACCAAACTTTGCAATTTTACTAATTTTAACAAGCTCTTTCTAGCTGTGGTGATGGATTTTGTTCTTCTTGCCTAGATAAAAATTTAGTCTGTACAGTAGCTGGAATTATCTATTACAACAAAAATATTTCGAAGACACCATGTTTACATTTGAGGTAAAAATACAGGGATGGATTTACTTGGGGGGGGGGGCGGAGGGGTGTGCACCCCCTAGCCCTGACCAGAGGGGGTGCAGGGGGGAGGGGGTGCTATTTTTCATGATAAAGCAAAACATTTTTAGAGACAAAATGAGATACAGTAGTTTGAGTAATAACATGATGATAAGCAAAATGTGAACAACAATTACAATTCAAATACAGTAGTCAAGCAAGACTTTGCAGTAGTGAAGCAAGTTGATGGGCGGGCGGCACACATGACCGACACAACTCGGCACCAGAGCTGGCAGAGCGCCCTCCCTACCAGATCATGCTGGATGCATCCCTGTAAAAATAGTCATTTGAACACAGAAATTCAGTGTTCACCTCACTCATGCAGGTAGGGTACTTGTATGTAGATAGGTCGAAACTGATTTTTTGGAAAAGATTTCATTGAGGTCAGCAGGTCACGACTGTCGAGTGTGATCAGTTGACATTACCATAGCACAATACCAATTCCAACAGCAATAGCTGTGACAAAGGACGGCATTTTAATTGGTGTCTGATGTTGTACTATAAAGCAACCAACGAAAAATAAGGTTGTTAGGCAAGCAAACCATCGCAACCCAAAAAATATGGCGGGTGGTATGTGTCAAAATTAAGTGAAACATTTTGACAATGATCTTGTAACATTTGGCATGCGTGTCAAACAATTTGGCAATGATTTGGCATCATTTGGCTATTGGTTCTGATTATTTTATGGCAACTGCAAAACATTTGGTGGCAATATCAAAATATTCAACAACAAAAACTCGTTTGACAACAATTTATTACTGCACTAAACTAAAATGTTATCATTTGACAATGACCTCACGTTCGGCAACAATCGTTTCATTTGGCAACAACAATCCCAAAATGCATTGCGAGTTTGCAAATTTAGAAACAAGATGGCGGATGAACATCAACAGGACGAATTACGAGATTCAATTTTAACATGCTTGGAAATGCTTTTAAACGATGTTACGGCAGCTATTTCACCAGATCCTGAACCCCATCTATAAGGTACACCAATTGGTCTCTGCCGGGAAATATCAAATTTAGGTCTTCCTGCAGTTCGCATTCTTCATCAACCAATAATTTTGTTTGATTTAGATATCCGCTGTACGTATTAGGATCTTGTGCAGACAGAACAGCAAGACATCGATAAAGAGCTTCAGAGCAATCGTGAATATGATTTATTATATAGGGTTCAGGATCTGGTGAAATAGCTGCCGTAACATCGTTTAAAAGCATTTCCAAGCGTGTTAAAATTGAATCTCGTACTTCGTCCGATTGATGTTGATCCGCCATCCTGTTTCTAAATTTGCAAACTCGCAATGCATTTTGGGATTGTTGTTGCCGAATGTGAGGTCATTGTCAAATGATAACATTTTAGTTCAGTATAGTAATAAATTGTTGTCAAACGAGTTTTTGTTGTTGAATATTTTGATATTGCCACCAAATGTTTTGCAGTTGCCACAAAATAGTCAGAAACCAATAGCCAAATGATGCCAAATCATTTCCAAATTGTTTGACACGCATGCCAAATGTAAGAAGATCATTGTCAAAATTTTCCACTTAATTTTGACACACATTACCCGCCATAGTAACCTAGCGTCGCTTGCAACTATATGAACGGTCGCAGATAAAACAATGTCTATTCTAATGACAAAGTTCAACGATCATTTATGGTTTCAATTCGCTCAGTCAGTCACCTTGGAGCTGGTTGATCAGATTAAAACCTGTTAAGTGCTTTTGACAAACATTGAAGAAGATTCTCACGCGAACAGGCAATGCCGTTTTTATGAGCGACCGTTCATCCTTAAAATGTCATTTTAATTAACAACGTACGTTTATATTAAACGAGAGCGTATGAAGTATTCTAAGTTGAGCACAATCTAACGATTCATACAATTACGAACTTTAATATATCAGTACGAGCCCAGTGAAAAAAGGAATCTTTTTTCGTTTATGCGTCATTAGATTGAAACGATGACATTTGTTGACTCTCGACTTTCTGCTGTCGACTCTCGACTTTCTGCTGTCGACTCTCGACTTTTTGCTGTCGACTCTCGACTTTCTGCTGTCGACTCCCGACTTTCTGCTGTCGACTCCCGACTTTCTGCTGTCGACTCTCGACTTTCTGCTGTCGACTCTCGACTTTCTGCTGTCGACTCTCGACTTTCTGCTGTCGACTCTCGACTTTCTGCTGTCGACTCTTGACTTTCTGCTGTCGACTCTCGACTTTTTGCTGTCGACTCTCGACATTCTGCTGTCGACTCTCGACATTCTGCTGTCGACTCTCGACTTTTTGCTGTCGACTTTCGACTTTTGCTGCAGTCAACTCTCGACTTCTTGCTGTCGACTCTTGACTTTTACTCTCGACTCTCGACTTTTAGATACACTCGTTTTCTCCCTCTAAACAACCAATTCTCCCGCCAAATTAAGTGTTTGAATAAGAATTCTCTCAAAATATCAGTCGCTAAGGTTGGCAGGTCTGCAGTTGCATGTCCTTGCTTGGCGGCTTACAACGGCAAATCGCAGGATATAAAACATTGGGGGGAGGTTCGTTTTGCTTAACGAAATTGCGTGGGCAGAAAACAGTGAGTTTGGCAAATACAACTACAACGACAATGCAACCGTGTTCATTCTAACACAAAGGCGGCTATAAATTGTATTCTCTGCCTTGAGTATTCCCGTATGCCGTTCTTGTTCAAATGACAGATACCACGAAGTATTATTACGTTATTAATAATATACATAAAGATATTACTCGACTGTGATTGGTTGATTTCAGTGCAGTTAATCCCAAACAGCAGTGCAATTTTCTGTAATCACAGTGCAATTTTCTGTAATCACAGTCACAGAATAGGAAGTTATACCAGAAGCGTAACTCTAGTCGTTTCCCTTATTGTTTGACGTCCACGAAAATTTTAACTCGCTCACGTCAGGCCACGCCATCCTGGCTAGTACAGCCGGAAGTTTTTATCAGGATTTGGTAGGTACAAAGTGCCGGTTGTACTAGCCAGGATGGCGTGATTGATGACGAATCGCTTGTAAAAACGCGGACAAACATTTGCTCGAGTTACGCTTCTGGTATAACTTCCTATTCTGTGTCACAGTGCAAAAATCTGTAACAAACTGATCTGATTGGTGGAAAAACATTGTGATGATTAAATCAACCAATCAGTTTAAAGCAATTTAGTTTAAAGAAGTAACGGTCACAGATTGCTTCAAAACAAAACAAACATGGCGCCCCGCTACACAAAGTAAAAGTTGCCTTCGCGTGGAAAATATGGTTTTTATCTTTATTTTTAAATGGAAAAGCATTTACCTTAAACAAGACTAACAAAAATTACATAGTTGAGTGGAATTTTCAAGCTGTTAGCGTTGTATAATGTGATATAACAAAGTCGGGAAAACTTTGCCAGTGGAATGTTCGCTATAAACGCGTAAGTTAAAACTACAATTGTCTCGAACATTTTTATGTAAATTATTAATAAGTAATAGCATGGTTTCGAGTGCAATTTGGATATAACATGCACGAGTGAGTTTTTCAAAGACCTCAAATAGCACTCGTCCTTCGGACTCGTGCTATTTTGAGGTCTTTGAAAAACTCACTCGTGCATGTTATATCCAAATTGCACTCGAAACCATGCTATTACCTATACTTATCTCATTCCTACAGTACCTCTCGACAGCGCCAACAATTATTATTGACGGTCTTAAGCCGGTTTTCCACTTCGCCCGTATCGTACCGAAACGTACTGGTGAGTATGCGCAGATTGAAAAGAGGTTTATAAATCCACGTACTTCCGGGTAACACCGCGGAAAAACGTCTGCGCATGCACCAAATTATGAAAATATGGCGGGGAATTTGAATATCAATTTCTAAAACAAAAACGTGCTTATTAATTGGTCAAAAATTAGTAAAACAAACTAAAAAGAAAATGGGTAGTCTAGACATTAATTGAAAGCGTCCTGGCATTTAAAGTATGGAATGAAATATAATTCATGTAAAAAATTGTTGGTTTTAACGGACATGACTTCAAACTAAAAAGTTAAGAAAACTCTCGAAAAGTTAAGCTTCTTAACCCACTCAAATTGTAGAATAAATCCTGAAGTTTAATTATTGTGAACACGAAAATTTTTTATATTTGGCGACACAGTTTTTTTTAAAGAAATGTATCTCAAACGAAAATTCGGAAATTGTCGTTGCTTAGTTGATAAACAAAATGTTTCAGACGATAAATTTGTCAACAATCACCTTTAGTTCATGTTCTTGTACAATACAATTTCTTGAACCTTCTGGCTGTATTTATTCCTAGTTTTTAGAATGACATGTTTATTTTTGCGCTCGAAATCTGGCTGTAAAGACGCACAATGAAGTCACTCCTTTTTACCGCCATTTTGAGCCTTCGGAAACGTTCGGAACAGCTTCTCATCAAGTTCGCAATACTATTACAGGTAAGTTGACGCATGCGCAGACGTTTTTCCGCGGTGTTCTTCCGGGTGTATTCGCGTATCAAAATGAAAAGTTCGTCGCAAGTCAACTTTTTGGCGTACTACAGAAGTACTAGCCAATCAACATTCACGAAATTTTGAAATTTAAAAACGTTTTTGATACGTTTCGGTACGGTACGCTTGATGTGGAAAACCGGCTTTAGTCATTTACAGTAGGGTACTTACCGTACTTTACGTAAATGCACCAACTATAAAGATAAATACTATTGAGTATTGGGAGGCAACACTGGAAAAATATAGCGAAATTCATAATATCGGGAATTTGCAAACGCATCACTAAATCCATAGTGTATCCATACTATTTCCATACTATATCCATAGTACGGAAATTGCAATTAGTATGAAAATTGGAATTCCATGTTATTTTCTACTAAAATACATACACCAACACAGCAGATTTCATGATTATTAGATTACACTGATATCGAAGGAACTAGACTCAGTTCCGAAATATCGCATACTCGAACCGACCTGACCGCGTAGCTCAGTTGGAAGAGCATTGGGCTAGTATTCCAAAGGTCGTAGGTTCGAATCCCGCCGTGGCCAGGCATATTTTTCAAGCCTGCCCGGTGTGGATAGACACTCAGAGTAACATCACACAAACATAAAATCCATACTATTTCCACGGTAAGGATTTGGAAAATTGCCAGTGCAAATGAAGTTTTAGTAATGTATGCTTTTGCTTGAATACAAAAGCGTAATTTTGTTTGCTGCAGTTGCCATTCTAACTTCCCAAACTCACTGAAAACGTAAAAGGCCCCAGTTAGGGCTTAAGCGCCCAAGCCATGAGTATTCAGTCGGTGGGCTCGGACTCCTTTGGGAGTATGGGGGCTAATGTTCCCCCACAGATTTATAGTTGGGTGGATCCAGCTAAAAATCTGGGGCCGGTTGTATAAAACTCTTAATCACTTTTTTAATCACTATTTTGTAGTTAAATAGTGATTAACCCTCAACTACGCGCTTCTTATTGGATGACGTTTCCACTAATTATAGTTACTTTTATTTTAATCACTTTTTTATACAACCGGCCCTTGACTGTAGCATAATGCTAAAATCGGAGGCACCATTTGAAATTTGGACCCCGGAAACGCCATTTCCTGCATTCTTAGCATCGAATTCTGTTCTAAAATTTGACCTTAATAAGGTCATATTTTAGACAAAAATTTACAATAACAGTAAAATGTTTAAACGAGATACCAAATCATACCAGATCTACATTCTTAATTCCTGTATACAAAGTTTTAATAAGATTTGCGTTCCTCCGTACATTAAAATGTAATTTAATATCATACCGCACATGGGTAACATATATAAACACAAGTACAATCAATGCATAAAATCAATGGGCAGAACGATATATAACGCAAACAGACACATTTATACACTGAAAGAAAGCTTCGGACTAGCATATATTCAACCACCTAAAAATACTAGCCAAACTTAGAGGTTTTTTGGCTTGTATTTTTCAGTTACGGTTTGCTTGTATATTTCAGTAATTCAGTAACGTACCCTATCTCTCAATACGAAGCTTTGTGTTGTGTTGTTAATATCAACCAGTGTGTATCGCGCGGCGGAGATATCGGCCGCGCAATTTTGATGCTTTCTATATATTTACTATTAAATTTTCGACATCTCCGGCGCGCAATTTCCAAACACTGGCACGGAGCGTTTGAGATAACATTTATATATTGTTTATCGCCGCAAAAATCATTATTCAATCAATGACTCCACTTAATTATAAACAAAGGTATTGAATAATTACAAGCAGCCGAAGCAGGACATAAAATATTAATATATTCTAATATTCATAAGCTTACCTGACCACTTGACCAGAACGTGGTTCAAGGAGCGCGCTCTTTCAGCATTTCGAATTGTAATTTCGAAAAATCACACACAAATACCCCGCGATCTTTCAGACGATCGGCCTTAACTTTGCTCCCGATGGCATCCTCACATAGCGCTTTAGTCGACTTAGCTTTTCTTCGAAAGAAATTGGCTCGTTAAAAGCGCAAACAAATATAGCCAAATAACATCGCTCTAAACTCTATATCGAATTGCGCAACTGTAGCTGTCTGTAGCGCATTGCGGCACTGTGATTGGTTTGCTTCATCTGACTGTACGTAGCAAAAATGCTAAATTTAGTAACTGGTAGCATTAACATCATGATCATAAATCACTATATTTAGACCACTTTTCTGAACGCTTTTTGAACGATGTTTAATTAAAAAATTTAGGTGATTTCCCCTAAAAGCGGGCGTTGTTTTGGATAAAAATCAGGTTAAGTTAAGATAAGCGCGTAAATATTCGTAGCTCACAAAATACGTACGGACATCTGGTCGAAGCTGCGGAAGTTAATTTTTTTTAAAATAGAGAAACTGGAAAACTTCTATAAAGAATTTTTACTATCACCACATTCAGTATTAAAAATATTTTTTCAGGAAAATCTTTGACTGTAGCATTTGCTACAGTTGCTAATCGATTTTACATGCACATGATGAACTGAAAAATAATCCGACAAAATTATTGTGAGGGTACCACACTCCCTAAGCCAAACCTCCCTGTCTGATATATACAGCTGTCATTGTCGTGTTAGTCAATTCTCCTCACCTAACATCTCAACATACGTCAAGCTCACTAATAATTACCAACCATGTATTAGCAACATCAGAAAGTATATACAAATATCTCACTGATAATTTTACTGAGTAACTTAATATTAGAGGCAGATTTTGACTTCCACTATCGATTCCGCAATTTTCCGTGCGGAGCAAAATTTTCCACGCAGAGCAGAATTTCTCTTTTCTAATTAGTTCCACCCAAGAAATCACAAGACAAAGAAAACCTTCGCTCCTTACGGAAATACAATACACATCTAATTGCAGGTTAATTGATGATTCCCCTTATTACGTTTTCGTAGCGCTTTGCATTGTGGTTATAGTGGTATCACTGATATTCAAGATGGCTTATTTTTTGTCCTGACCCGTGCAAGAACTTTTAAAAAAAGCTAGGGTCAGGGCCACGATAGCTAACAGCAAAATATTTGCGAAAACATTCAATATGTTCATTCAAGGCTGCTATCTTTATCAGTAATACCACTATAACCACAATGCAAAGCACTACGAAAACGTAATAAGGGGAATCATCAATTGGGTAGCCGGATTAAATGCATCTGAATAAATAGTATAGCAGTATCTGAACCTCTATTCATGCACCCAAACTTACATGTAAACATTACCTATATTATCATCCGACGTCTTATATCCAAGTCCATAACCATCCCATGGAATGCTAACGACATGAATGGCAGGTATGTTATTGTTTGTCATAGCCAGCATGGTCCCATGTGGTAACATCGCCAATTAAACGTCAGCACTGGATAAAAACGGGGGGAAGAGGTTTAAATTTATTCACACTGCAAAAATACTCACTTTGCTCTTTTTGAAAAGGCTTAATGAAAAGATCAACGTTTTTTTCCGAAAACAAAACGTCCCAAAAATTTGCCCAAACACTAGTTTGAGATAATGGGGGCTTAAGAATAATACTTTTTCAGATCCTCAATTTTTCAGAAAATTCCTTAATATTCAACACGTTCCAGCATTCCAGGGGCCCCTCTGGGCAAGTTGAACCCCCTTTTTTACTTTTCACAAGCGTTGGGCAAATTTTTAGCCGCCCGCCTAATTTTTTCCTCCTGCATACCTATGAATAGCTGTATGGAAAAGCAAAGGCTCTCCTCAGAGGGCTCTCCTGTCTCTACATTAATTTTAAGGGAATTTGTCATTTGGGGGACCTTTTCGATTTTTGCCAAACTTTAATACACCCCACTTTTCATTTCATCTTTATATAGTCCTTTTAATAATGCTCACAGCTGGAAAAGATTGTATAAAAAAACCTTAATCTTTACTGAAATAGTTTTGTAGAAATCCAAGCCCTAAAAAACTTAATTATAGTCACGCGAAGGTAAACATTTTCACCGTGCATTTTTGGGTAGTTGCCTATAAAAATGCTCACACGTGGTATTTTGGGATATTATTGCCAATATCACATATATATATACGATATTATAAAATATATTGCCAATATCACATACGGTTTCAAAATTTGCACACGAAACCAACTCATCTATTCTTTCTTTTTCTCTTAAAACGTTAAGATCAATGCCATTAAGTAGAAATTAATTAGCAATACAATGCAAATGACCTTCTATTTGTCGTATTTTATTATACGTGTAGCAGTATAGTAAGTACTTCGATGAGATTGATTAAAGCTTTTTGGATTGAAACAGATATTCCAGATGCTGTATTCTGTTAATGGTAAAGAGGTCAGCTACAAATTATACAGATTATATACCTACCACTAAACCAAGAAGTGAATAGCAGAGAGTGAATAGTAAAAGAACAATATTTACTGCAGAACTGCTAAATACGATATTGGCCTTTGTTGTTCTTTTTCGCACCAGTGCCTGGACTGCCTGCTGCCATCCAGGTGCGACCCAATTAATATAGGTGGTTCTTGCGGGTGGGCAAGAGAAATGCGGGCATATAAGAGGTTATTTCGCTGGCCTCAGAGTGACAAAACGTAACAAAGCAACGGTTTTAGGCTGGGATTACACTATACGGGATTGATTTTCATATCGGATTAATTTTCACTCCGAAAAACCCCAAGCTAAGGGTGTTTACAGACTTTACACTATGCATGCCGCTTTGCTCTGTTGCCAGCTCATGTCTGGCTGTTGCCATGGAAACAAGTAATACTTATTGAAAGTAAACTAAAATTTATTAAAAACAAGAAGTAACTCACGTTTTCAGGTTTTCTTTGCAAAGTATAACTCCGGCGAAGGTAAGAGCCTGGGTACGAGGTTGAGTATAACTTTGTTTAAAAAGCTTGACTACCAGACGTTGCTTCGTTTCGCTCTAATCCAAAATTGACGAGTCAGTCGAAAGCGAAAAGTCACTGTTATTATCGTTTTCTTTATTTTTCTTCCCCAGAAATAGTAAATGGTTGTAAGGTGAAACAAACGACAGCTCTAAAATACAGGGCCGCCCAGAGGTTGGCGGGGGCCCGGGGCAAATTTTTTTTAGGGGCCCCTATCTAAAAAAGTTTTCCCGGAGAAAGGTTTTTCGGGATAACAACCTCCCCCCCCGTCCCCAAAAAAATTTCGGTCAGTGTACCATTTTAGGGGTAAAAAAAATTTTCCCGAGTACAAAATTTTGCCGGACGAATACGTTGCAAATGCTTTCGAGGGACTTTATCTCATTTTTTATGCCAAAATTCGGTACTGAGCCCAAGAAAACAGATATCTTGTCCTTTGCGCGGAAATATTTAACACACAAAAAAGGCTGGGGCCCTACAAAAATTTTTCAGGGGCCCCCAGCAACTCAGGGCCCGGGGCAATTTGCCCCCTTTGCCCCCTTTGCCCCCCCCCCCCCTCTGGGCGGCCCTGCTAAAATATTGTAAAAGCGAGCAAATAAAGGCGACAATCGGGGAAAACGTACACGCCAAAACCGTACCGAAGTGTACTGGATTGGCCTGTTTACACTGCTTCGGCACATACCGGATTACTTTTCATATCACCTCCAAAGCGAAGTGATTTTTACGCCGCGTCGCGTACCGGATTACTGTGGCGTAGTGTAAACAGCATGAAGCCGAATCCGGTACGAAAATCGCGACGCTCCGATGCAATCCGGTATAGTGTAAACGGGGCCTTGTACTAACACTAACCCTATTCCAAATTCTAACCTAACCCTACTCCAAGTTTGTTTCTATCAGTAAAACCAATCTTGAAGAAAAAGGTATTGACGAAATGTCATAGTCTGAGATCAGCGAAATAACTTGTGTTCTGGCCTCTGGGGGACTGCACTAGGTTCCTTTCTAAATTGCTGACATCACCGAATGAGTAACGAGTAGGGGTTAAGGACTTAAGAATACCTCGTTACCTTATTACGCGAGTCGGAATACGAACAGTAAAACACCCATTCTGCACCACTCGCGTTTTTAAGAAGTTGAACAACATTCAGGTGTCCTGGTTTACGCTAACCTGTTTCGGACACTTTCGTGCTAATCAGTTTTCTTAATCCTTCGCGTTAAATTAAACCTATACTATATATCTCAGTCTTTTCTTATCCCGAAAGCTTCTGTTCATCACGCAATTTGAATTAGTCACGGCCAATCATCGTCGGTCGTCCAGAAAGGCAGAAACATTTGGGAAGCACAGAACTGAAATGCGATTTTTGATTTTTGGGGTACTAGTGGTTAATTTCATGCCATCGTTACGGTTAGGAATATTCGAAATCGAGTGCTTCTACATTTTCGTTGTGGAGAGTTTATTATCATATAATTTGTTGGTTTTTTTTGGTCAATTGATAGTTTATTTATCATACAGTATGTCATAACACCTTGGAGTTCATTATTCATAACATTTTCAAGTTCATCGATATTCTTTGACTGAAAAAATAGATTCAGTATCATCAGCAAATATCTGAATGACAATTTTGATGACGAATTTGGCATGTCATTTATACACAAAAGAAATAGTAAGGGTCCAAGTGTTGAACCCTGTGGTACACCACATACGATAGTCTGAGACATTGACTCAGCTTTCCCTATTTTTACATACTGGGTTCGATTTTTCAAATAGCTAGTAAACCAATCAAGAGTAATTCCTCTTATACCATATTTGTAAAGTTTCTTCAATAAAATATCATGATTTACGGTATCAAAAGCTTTAGAAAAGTCAAGAAATACACCACATGTAGTAAATCCGTCATCAATTGCAGTTTTTAGTTTGTCACTTAGCTCAAGAATTGCTTGTTCAGTTGTTTAGTATTGCAATAGGCCTATAATTGCCAGAGTCAGTTTCTATGCCACTTTTAAAGATGGGTGTTATTCTAGAAACTTTAAAAGAATCAGGAACAATTCCTGTTGCAATTGATTCATTGTAAATCTGTGTAAAAGGTACAGAAAGAGGTAAAGATGCCATTCTGATTAATTTGTTGGAATATCTAATCACGCCAGACGCTTTATTATCATTAAGTTTTGAAAACAAGTAAGAAACAGTATCTTCTGATACTGGGGATGAGAATAGACTGGATGAAGGAACTTTATTTATATATTTTGTCGGATCATCATTGCTTTGCCCAGCTGAATTTGCTAGTTTCGGACCGATGTTGATAAAATAATCATTAAATTGCTCTGCAATATCATTTTCGCTAGTGAATATTTTGCCATTGTTTATAAGTCGTGAAGGGCATACTTGATCTTTAGTTTTACGCTTTATCAACGTTCCTATTAGCTTCCAGGTGTGCTTAAGATTACTTGCATGTGAATGAAAACGTTTAGTGAAGTAGTCCTTCTTACTTTTAGATTTTAGTCGATTTAGCATATTCGAATATTTTTTTGTATTTTCTTATTAAATGTGCATTTTTTGACAGAAAGTGAGTGTGATACATTTTTTGCTTTATTTTGATCGATTTTAATATACCTGTTGTGATCCAAGGTTTATGTAACTGTTTAATTTTGGTTTTAGATGCAGGTATAATTGGAGCATACCTATCTACAACTGCACTTATTGCATTTATTGTTTTGGTTGTCTTTTCATGTAGATCTTTACTTTCATTAAAAATATTGTTCCAGTTAATGTGATTAATATCAGCTAAATATTTAAGTTTTATCAAATTTCCTATAATCCCTTAAATAAACCTGTTTTCTCTGTGTTTCCGAAATTCTGCTTATATTTTTCAGGCAGTTGCATCCCTACCAACGAAAGCTTGTTCAGATGTTAGGAATGACATGGACACGGACCTTTTGCCAAGGACTGTGCAAATAGTTTAAACTTGAAAAGTGGAATTGTAGATCGCTTGGGGTAACTGGTGATAATCAAAATGATAGTGATTATTCAAATCAGGGACGTCGTGAAGCCATCAACATTTGGGGTGGGGTGTGGGGGGGGGGAGGGCGGTGTCGTCGTGTTTTGACCAACGTTTTCCTGGGATTTTGACCAAGTCGTACAAATTTTTCCCGAAAATGTTGTCGACAGGGAGAGGGTAAAATTGTTAAAATTGCGAACCATTTCATAACTTTGATCAACTTCGATCATCTTTTATCCCAAACTTTGACCAAATTTTTCCGGGTTTTACCTTCAATTTTAAGCAAATATCGGTTCCATTTTGACCAACTTTGGGCAAATATCAGTTCCATTTTGACCAACTTTGAATTATTGGGGGGGGGTTACCACCTCCCCCTCCCCCCCTATAGCGACGTCCCTGATTCAAATGTTTCTTTAATATCCACACAACCTTTTATTAAGTGTTTTAAAAGTAACGTAGAATAGAAATGTGCAAATCCGATCCGAAAGCAGGGAGCCATAATATTCACTTTGGATCAGATCGGATTGGAGTATTTTCGTAGTCGGATCGGACTTCGATTACCAGGGCTACTGTGAAAACTCTTACGGCGCTTTCGTTTAATAATTTTTCCATTTTGTATATTTCTAATTGTCTGTTGTCTAACCCTATTTGTAAAGAATAAAAAGATGCGAGTTCTTTTGACGCTAGCCTGAGTGGCATGCTAATTGAATATTTTGCCCCGAGATTGCGAATTGGCTTCTGCGAAGACTAGAGTCTAGAATCTGGTTATTAAAAATTTGACATTGATATACAGCTATACACTTGATTGGAAAGTTTAATTTAATTTATTGGAAAGTTTAATTTATTTTAATTCAATTAAACTCGGATCGGATTGAATTACGATCAAACAATTTCGGATCGGATTTCAAAAAAATTATCAACTGTCGGATTGTAAACCTCCAATCCGATCCGATGATGCACACCTCTAATGCACATGTGCTAATTGACACTGGTTTGATAAGAACGTTCATATATTGTTTAACCAACTAAAAGTTACAAATGATGCACAGTATAAATAATATGATTAAGGTGACCAATAAACCCTGACCCGTTTTTGGGAATGGCCAAAGTGAAAGTGATGTTGTGTTTGTTTGTTTGTTTGTTTGTTTGTTTGTTTGTTTGTTTGTTTGTTTGCTTGTTTGCTTGTTTGTTTGCTTGCTTGCTTGCTTGCTTGCTTGCTTGCTTGTTTGTTTGTTTGTTTGTTTGTTTGTTTGTTTGTTTGTTTGTTTGTTTGTTTGTTTGTTTGTTT